CCACCCATCGTCTGGGAGTATAAGCGATTGTCAACTTTATCCGATCTCTTCTTCCTTCTATCAGTCCCTCCATTCATCCTTAAAAGTATTGTATTACGTATAAGAACCCCCAGTTTTGCTGTACCACTCCAATTGAGGTGTAAATAGTCCGGTCTCTGGTTTCGTCCAATGTTCCTAGAGAATTGCTGGCTTAGGAGCCCAGCCTCATCACAGAACATGTCAAAACCAGGTACCAAAGTCACACCAAAGTTGGAATGGAGCAGCTCCTTAAAAATTAATTCATTATAATGTGCAACTTTACGATTTAGCTCAACGAGTTTGGTTGGCAGCAGCGGACACACAAATATATTTGCTTTGGGGTTAAGCGCTTGGATCATTTCTACTTTCTGAACAAATGGTTTAAAAACATTGTTCTTTATATCAGCGGTATTTTTGATCTCAGGTTTCCTGATATCATTTATACCACACATCAAGAGAACATTCCTGTATCCACATGAAACTGTAGGATTTATATCCCCCACTACCGGAGCAAAATACTGTTTTCCGGGGAGCCACTGCCCAAATGATTTTTTGGGGTCCAGTCCGAATTTGAGACCACCAGTATGCGAGTCTCCGATGATACATGTAGAGTTCCTGTTTCTAAAGCTAACTGAACGAAAAGTTAGGCTGTATCTCACCCCACCAGTTATTGCCCCATCCTCGATACAGTGGCTGTAGAACTCTTGGCTGCGTCGAGTCATGCGATACATGGATCTTGGCACACATTTATGGTCATCATTGTCTGCAGCATCATTGTCTGCAAATTGGACTACTGCAATGCTATTTATTATGGAATTAGTGACAACCTCATCCACCAACTCCAACTCGTTCAGAATGCAGCTGCTAAAGCTATAGTAGGACTATATAAATATGATTATCTAGGAGACACTCTGAAAGACCTTCATTGGCTGCCTATTAGTTACAGAATTCAATATAAGTTATTGCTTCTTGTCTATAAATGTCTTAATGGTATGGGACCAGATTATTTAAGTGATATGTTTAAATATGCCAATTATAATCATCTTATCTATTTGACTGAACCTAGAGTATATTCACAGTATGGAGAAAGATCGTTTCAGAAAGTTGGCCCTAAATTATGGAATGAGCTGCCTCTTGAAATTAAGAATTGCATGTCACTGGAATCTTTTAAAGTGTATCTGAAAACGTTTCTTTTTAAACGTGCTTTTAATATTAATTAATTTACTATTTTTTCAACGTTTCTACTGTTAAGTGCATACCCTTAACCTTGTAATTTAGTGTATCAAGTCTTTACAATTTTCTATGGTTTGGAACCTAAATGTTGATTGCTTTTCAGGTTTTCTTGTATCCTGACTTGTTTTCGTGGCACACCTGTGCATTTTAAGTTGTTGTGCCACTATAATCTATAAGTTTAAATTATTATTATTATTATTATTATTATGCTTAATTTGTCTGAAACTGACCCTAGTGCAGTCAGCAGTGCATGTTCGATCTCCTTCGTGTCTCATCAATCCCTAAAGTGACCAGTACTGATGGCAAAATTAGTCAAATGATCAATTTACCTAGCTTGCTAGTCTATTGATCGCTTCTCTTATAGATGTGCAGGAAGCTCCAGGAGTCCATACACCATAGTTCTCGAAATCAATACAAATTTGTGTTTTAGTCTTCATGGCAAGAAGAAACCGCTTTGCGCTATCATACTCTAGAGGGTAGAGATATGTTTTATTCTTCTCTTGAAAAGCTAATACAAATCCTTTAATGGGAGAGTATTTGATGCACCTTCTGCAAACAAGAGCCACTTTGGTCTACTTGCTGTGAGGTGTCTCAGCTACATGTGTTCGGGTTATACCCCTCCCCTTTTAAAAATCAAAACGGAGACCCCTGACTATTATCGTGGGTTAGTGCTCCAGACGTGGTGAATCTGGTGCTATTGAAGCTCTTACAACTTGCTACTTTTGCCAACTGCTTCTGGTTAAAGTATCGCCCTATATCTGGAACCGAAACGGGCATAGTTATAATTGTCCCACAAGGTCAGCGTCAGCCTGCTAATTTATCGTTCCTCTTATCCAATGGGAAAATAATTGAACTTTCAGTCAGTCACTAATAAGTGTTCACTAATCATTTGGTATTTTATGCACTGTTCCGCAAGTTTCACTATGCGGCACCGTGCTTAAGTTGCAATCACTAGTTAATAAAGAATAAATGATTTCCCCTTATCCTGCTACAGCTGTTGCATGATTATCACTCTCAGTGCTAACAAAAGAATCTTTACAAACTTGTATTTTATGTATGCTATGATTAACTTATATATTGTGTGAATGTGCCACATTTGTCTTCCAAATGCAGGATTGTGACTTCAGTTGACACAGTTCGCAGTAAACCACTTAGCATTTGTATCGTTTTTAGCTTCTTATCAGCAGTTATTATCTGCAAGTGTTACACGGGGTACACGCCACGCTAACTAAACTTGATGGATTTCTCTGTAGACTTACTACACGCAGTGGAAAAGTATATAATGCAATCGGAGTTTGGAAAGCTCATGAAAGCTGTGAAACTCTCGTCTTCCTCTGATATCAACCAGGGTGTTCTAAAAAAACTGCTTAAGGGTCTGCTTGTAAATTTCCTCAGCAACATAGTGATTTTAATGGACAGCAATATAAACCTATGCAAGTCTGCAGCCAGCAAAACAGATCAGATGAAAACAGAACAGATAGACATGCAAAAGCAGCTGATTAACAGACAGCAGGATCAGATCGACTCGGTGCAGAAAACTGTAAAAAGTTGGGCAGATGTCGTCAAGAAGAACAGCGCCCAATCAGCTTACAGCAAAAAATGTGAAAGAAGCCGTGAGATCAGTGAATGAGGAAGAAGAAAGATCAAGAAACTTGATTATCTACGACGTTAAGGAGATGAAAGAAGGGGAGCGCGCAGTGGGAGGACGTATAACACATTGATATTCTCCCAGCCTTTATTAGGTTATGTTAGTTTTTCAGATGTGGACAATATACTAAGGAACGCACACAAACTTTAAACAAATGTAGAGTTTAAGTCAGTTTATCTTGCACCGGATAGGACAAATGAGCAGAGAAGGCTACACAGTGGACTTGTCGAACAGATGAAAGAACTAATAAAGCAGGACAATAGCAAGCGTTATTTTATCAGAGACAATAAAGTTAATTGTGTTAGCCTTATCTACAAGTACACTGACTTGTTATCAGAATTTATGAAATGTTATATGTTATGTTCACATTCTTTATCTACTTGCTGATACTGTATAGTTTGTTTTACATAGTATGTATTTAGTGTAAGTTGTGGCTGTTGATTTCTATAAACCGTTTTCAACAAGTTTTTTACAAATGCAGGATTTTGTGTGGAGATTTAGGCAGAAGAAAGAACTGTGGCTCAAATTTTATTATATTTAGGTCAAGGCATAATACTATATTTAGGTCAGCCATGATCCGTTGAGCTCGCAGGACTGAAAGTCCTTGTAAAGCAGGTATGGCTTAAATTGTAAGTAGGTGCAGGTTGTTTCATTTCCAAGGAAAGCAACTTTATTTTGTTTTAAATAAATTGTGTATACTGCTCAAAAGCCCCTATGGGTGGCCTTCGGGTCTTTCAATCAATCACACACAACTCTAACGTTATACTGCAACATCATTATTCTAAAGATTTCATGTACAGTGCTTGAACTTCACCTTGTTTTGTCATTTCAGTTAGGTCCTAGCTCTTATAGGGTTCACAACAGGCGTTGTCGGTAACTAATCAGCAGACTATCTGAATGATGTAACACTAATTTGATTCTAATTCTAATTCAAGTTACTATCCAATTACTCAACTTCAGTTAGAAGGAATAATGGGTAAATAATTTACTCAAAAGTAAGCCTGGTTGGCCATGCTGCTGCTGCCCTTCTATTCTTTTTGTTTTACTTATTTATGGCTGATAACTATCTGTTACTCCAATCCTTAACTCCAATTTCGTCTAACTTAGTATGGTTACAACTGAAAGGAAAAGAAACAACCCTCTTAAACTCCTTGCTGAAACTGGAAGACGTGAACAGCCAAGAACCCGAAAAAGAAACAAAGGAGAGGATTCGGTTGACAACAAAAATGGCAACCAAATTATCTTGTTCTTTAGTCCCGGCCTAAAAGAAAAACTTATTAAGGATAGGGATCTGATCGTGGCAAAAAAGTATTTGGTGAAAATACCCTCGAAAGTGACCTGTGAAATGATATTCAAAGAGTTTCTCTATCATGAAAATCAAGAAAATTCGATCTACTTCAGTAATGGTGTATCTCAAGATATGATTAGTGGAATCAGGACATACTTTAATCATAGATTCATCGTTGAACTACTTTACAAGCCAGAACTACCTCAGATCAAGAACTTGGCTGGAAAAACAGTATTCACTGAGATTTATGGTTGCGAACATTTGTTGCGGTTGATGACTTGTATTGGAAAACTCATTTCACCTAATGAGTTTGATGAATGTGGGTTTAATATTCTCCAGATGCATTACCAGAGATTTTTGGAATTCATTGATGTTAACAGAGATACTTACATGCCTGGGGATAATTATTTTCAGGTCGTTCAATGATTAAACCATGGAAACTACGATTAACTGAACCTTTTCTGTTTAAATTATGATACTTATAATTGAATTGATCGACAAATGCAAATGTACCATAATAAATTATTACCTGAGAACGAATAATTTGGTTAAAGGCTAGACATCAAATTGTCGCCTGTATTTAAATATTTCATGTATTCTGAATTTCTGAAAATAAAGGAGTTTGCAGCACAATACAACTGGTAATTATTCGCTTTAAATGTCAGAAGTAGGACTATGAAACTAATTATTCGGTAAAAATGATCATAACCCAAATTAATGAAATAAATATTAATCAGCACGTTTTAGATTTTTCTAAGCAAGCTTTGACAAGCTATCCAGCTCTACTGAAATGTTCCATTGGTTTTCTAACCCCATATATTCAGCAGCAGTGATGTGGTTGCAAGTTATTAAAACTACAGAAGAGCAGTTGAAGATGAGGTGAAATTGCACCTCATCTACTCTGTATGAGTGCTGCTAATCATGTAAAGAACGGTGTAAAGGGGGATCCAGATTGCGAACATGGTGAAACCTTCAATGTCACCAGTATAAAGCAGAGTCTGGTCAGTATAATTACTTTTCTGTATTGGTAGTTATGTGATCCATCATTAGAATAGATATAAGGTACCTTCACATAATTCTATGTGAATAGTACATTTGAAGACTGCCAAGATTATTAGATTAGTGACATTTAAATTAGGTAATTGATGAAACCGTGAATCTGATCCATGAGGCTTGATGCCGACTTGATATGGAATGTGCAATGTGAGCTCAAATTACATATTCCAACTGAAAACAGTTTATTCATATTGCATCCATGAATTTGTGTAGATCTCATAAATGTAATAAAATTATTATTAAAATGTTACAATGATATAAAATTATTGATTTAATAACAGAACTCAATACATAACAGAAAAACAGTAAAACCCCGATTTACCATAAAACCCCGATTTACTGCAGCTTTTTCCTTTCTCCCAAACTCTGCGGTAAATCGGGGTATTACTGTATTCAGTTCCGAAAGTAACATATTGACACATTTATTTCAGTTATCTCCCGCCTATCTGCACACCAACAGCACAAGTCATACTTGGGCATTTTCCGCTGTTGCTGAACTTATAGGTATGTCAGATCTTTGTTGTATTCGCAAAACGTTGCAACAAATCTTAGTCATAGATATTTTAAAGATGATCAATAATCTAATTAAACTCGGGGCTTTTTGATACGCAGCAATGTTAGCGACGTATTTCTTGCCAATTTTTCGCGTATTTCGACTAATATATAAGATTCTCATGAATTTATTTTTTATTTCCAAATTCAAATAAATTTTACATCAATCTGTTCCATTACTGCATTATATTATGTAGTGTTGGTACATAAATCATAATTAGGTTAGCCGCAAGTAATACTATAAGCTTATTAGGGGTGGAGGGCACTGATTGCGGTCTGTTTGGACTGTAGAGAGAGTTCATACGTACTTCATACGTAGTTCATACGTACTTCATACGACAATGCGGAGTTAATAAGGGTTAATTTCTAAAACGTTTAAATAAAAATGGAAAGCGGTTCAAGACGGGAGTGATGAGGTGTAATAGTCGTGGTACAGGGTGTACGGACCTTATGATCATGGAATGTGGTGCCTAATAATGACTTAATTATCCACGAGAAAGAACTGATTATGCGATTATGTTAAATACAATTGGATACGTGAGGCCGTGAGGGCACTCCGAATAGAATTGCTCACCTAATGGGGGTTTTGACTCATCGGGTAAATACTCCTACCCTTTTTAACTGCGGCAGTGAAATTCCGGCCGAAGGCGGGTTACACTAGTATTAATAATAATAATATTATATTTATGTTAGATACAGCCATACTCTGTTGAATACATCCCATCTCGTTCGATCTTGGAAATTATGCAACTGAAGACCGGGTTAGCAATTCTTATTAATTTAATGTAATATAACGCTAAATTATTTTTTTCCGGTTTTTTATTCGAATAAATAAGTTATACATGAACCAGTAACGGACCAATTTAAACTGTGACATAATTATTTGTTTAACAAAATGAGATATGCTTCCTCCCTGAAAATCAGCACTGGACATAATATTATCTCAAAATAGGCAATATCAATATAATTAGTTTGATCATTTATTTAAATTAAATCAAATATCATTCAATTTGGCATGTTATTCACTTTATGAATCCAAATCTAATCTTAAACAATAATCTCAGAATGTGTGTCTGTGTGTGCACGTTTAATTTCGGAGCGGCTTAATCAAGAAAATGGTTAGAGTTATGGGACTGGTTTTTTCGGTATAGTGCCGAGAAAAAATGATCAAGGTTTTTTAAATCGGTCGGTGGTAAGTGGTTTAATTGATGGTTTTGTACCACAAATGTGACATAACACAAGGATATAACTTGTGAACTCGGCTAGTATATATGAAACATTTGTCAATTGTCATGGAGTTGTAGAGGGAGTTATGTGCCTCGCCGGGCTAAAGTAGTGGATGACCTTGCTGTACGGCAAGTTAAACAAGGATCTGAAACTACTAGGTTCCGTACAGACTCAACTCTGCACCCGTGTCAATATGTTCATTATATGCAAGCCTCTTGATTTATAAAATGGCTCACGTTTTTCCCTCCTCGCTCTCTCTCCCATTACTACATATTATGTAGCGTTGGTAGTTGGTACATAAGTCATAATTAGGTTAGCCTCGATATTCACTTTCATCTAATACTATAAGCTTATTAGGGGGGGGGGGGGGGGGGGAAGCCACTCATTGCGGTCCGTTTGTTTACTTTCACGACAATGTAATGCATGTTTTCAAATATAATAGGCGGGTGTGGTGCGGATTAAATAAGGGTTAATTTCTAAAACGATTTAGATAAAAATGGAAAGCGGTTCAATTGCTCACCTTATGCCGGTTTTGTCTCAGCGGGTAAATACTCATACTCTTTATAACTGCTGCAGTGAAATCCCGGCCGAAGGCCGGGTTACACTAGTACTATCATAATACGGGTTATACGGGTAATACGGGTAATACGGGTAATACGGGTAATACATACTAAGATAATACGGGTAATACATACTATGATAATACGGGTAATACATACTAGGATAATACGGGTAATACATACTAGGATAATACGGGTAATACATACTAGGATAATACGGGTAATACATACATGTACATTGTACTAGGATATTTATGTGTTAGTTGTTAAACAGGTTAGTTCTGAAATACGTGAAATCACCGTTGCGTAATATTGCGACTTAGTCTCCGTCTCATAATTGTACAGATAAATGTACTGTAGGTAAATAAATACTGTATAGTTAGTGAGAGCACAGAGCACAGTGCTCTGACTAACTACATCACGGAATACACAGTGCACTGAATGTACACACAGCAGCACTGTAAAACAGCACCTGACTACACGTGCTGGTGTCACGTGATGTCTCTGTTACTCGCCATGTTAACACACAACACTCAGTATATATATCAGTTTACAAAGAATTACTCCAATTGTGGGCAGTGTTAACACTTGGCACCGCGCCAGGCTCGGTACTCTAAAGAGAGCCGCTCTGTGCATTGTGGTATCACATGACGGAGTATTGTGGACTCTCTTAGATCACGAGATATCGTGCAGGGAGCTCACTCTGGCCACGTGACTGTCATCACGTACACGTGACTGTCTCACTTAATCACCGCTGTAATATCACACCACTCACTTTGCTGGCTGATTATTCCTTTTGTGGCATAAACGATAGGGTGAAGGATGTCAAGTGTGAGTTGTGACTGTATATATATATTGCGAGTGTAAGGAATTATCTACTTTTGATGGGGAGAGAGAAAGAGAGAGAGAGAGAGAGAGAGAGAGAGAGAGAGAGAGAGAGAGAGAGAGAGAGAGAGAGAGAGAGAGAGAGAGACCCTGTTAATATATGCAGGAATTAGTTGAATATTCCTTTACATAACATAATATGCAGGAGTTTGCCTCGCATAATTGTGTGCCTGTTGTATTATATTTATGTCTCATGAGACACATTCATATATTGACATAATCTTACACTCAAATAATTGTATTTTGAAGTTATAGGCACAAGACAAATGGGCATTGGGCGGTGCGTCTTTTCCGTACACGATATTATATGGCTTCGTAGATCAGACCTTATTTGTATATAAGGCTAGGCGTACAAAGGGCGTTTTGAATAGTGCATTGGGAACAGTAAATTATTACTAGAAATTTACGGATACATTATCTACAGGAGATTAAGTTCGCAACCAGAGGGTATCTACTGTGTGATGTGAACTTTGAACCATTTAAATATGACAGCTGATCGCATTGCGTCAGTAATGAAACTCTCAGTCATTCACTTGATGCTGAGTATTTTATTTTATTACTCGCTCCACACTTAGAATCAGTTGAGGTCAGATCAGTTTTCTCAGCCCTCAAATTTACCCAGGGGGCAAACGTATAATTACTAATTAAGTACATACATCTATTGCACTTTTTTTTAAATCACCTTATTTCCCTCAATAAACGTAATTTAGAATAATGTAGTGACTTTGTAAAAATAAGACTCTGATATTTTTCACTTAATGTAAGCTTAAATCTTAATATCAACAATATATTTACAAATCATCTCTAAATTCATGAATCCATCTAAATGTGTTTGGGTCGGTTGTTCTCCATCCTTTTGATTTGAGTTCGTCTGTTCTGGAACCAAACTCTGATATTCTCTGACGTCAACCCGAGCACTGCTGCCAAACTTTGTCTCCTCTCAGTCGAGATATAGTTACAGTCGTCAAACTCCCGTTCTAACACGTCCAGCTGGAATGTAGTGAACCTGGTTCTCCTCCTCTTCTGTTTTGGAGCCTTGCCAAAAGAAGAAGGGGTCTGAGCTGGGGTTCCAGGTGGTGTTAGGATCTGGTTCTGGATAGCAGGAGCAGGAGAGGGTGTTCTCAGGTTGTGCTGATCTGCCTTGTTGGGTAGAGGGAAGTCAGGAGGAAAGAAGAACTGCGGAGGGGAGATAGAACCAGGGGTGGTAGGTGGAGTGGTGGTGTTCAGAGTAGAGGACAACATAGGTACAGGTGTGAGTAGAGGGGTCGGTAAAGCAGGAGTCTCTGGTTGTACTTCTAGCTTAGTTGTTGGTAGCTCCAATCGGTAAGGTTTAGAACGATCAACATTCCTGTATCCAAAGCTCCGTTTAGAGTAAGGGTGAGGGCTTGGTACTGGAGTAAGAGTAGTGGCGTAAGGAAGAGTAAGAGGTCTAGAGTTGATGTAAGGAACACCAATAGACTGGAGATTTGTGTAAGGAGGAGGAGTCAGCGATGTAAGGTATGGAGTTCCAAAAACAGGGTTTCCTCTGTAATGAGCACAGAGACTAGGCGAAGTTGCCATCTGTATATCGTGATTAGGATTAGATCTTTTGAAGAGTGCATTGAGGTAAACTTCGAAGGAGGAACTCATAATGTATTGTACTTTATTAATTTATAGTAAATTGATGTAGAAGTTGATGACGATAACTGACAATAAACCTTATGAGTCGGCTGAGTTATATATTGGTAACGATCCATCCTGATACATCCTGATTGAGTTCTCGAGTGTCCAATTTAGAAAAGCTAAACCTGCTCTCATGCTGCATAATTTGTAAACACTCCGCTGATTTAGATGGACTCATATCACATGTCCGATATGGGATCCAATCAGCTGTGTCTGATCAAGAGATCACATCCAATGAGCCATAACTGATCACATAGCTAATGGATCTTGTATCCGACTTACTTACAACCTTGACACCAGCTAAGCGTTGAACTTTGACATCACTGATATCAGATGACAGCCTGCTTATCACTGATATCAGATGACAGCCTGCTTATCACTGATATCAGATGACAGCCTGCTTATCACTGATATCAGATGACAGCCTGCTTAACTCGGACTCGGTTACCGGACTAAATAATTCAATAACCGGGAAATCGCTATTCACACATATAATATGACTCAAACATCTATATAAGTGTAAACGCTCGCTCACTCGGTACAATTATGGTTTACACAAATATAGACACCTCACGAGGTCAATATATATCCCGCTCCGTTTGCGTGCATGGTACCTACTAGTGCCGTGCATGGTACCTACTAGTGCCGTGCATGGTACCTACTAGTGCCGTGCATGGTACCTACTAGTGCCGTGCATGGTACCTACTAGTGCCGTGCATGGTACCTACTAGTGCCGTGCATGGTACCTACTAGTGCCGCTCCGTTTGCGTGCATGGTACCTACTAGTGCCGCTCCGTTTGCGTGCATGGTACCTACTAGTGCCGTGCATGGTACCTACTAGTGCCGTGCATGGTACCTACTAGTGCCGTGCATGGTACCTACTAGTGCCGCTCCGTTTGCGTGCATGGTACCTACTAGTGCCGCTCCGTTTGCGTGCATGGTACCTACTAGTGCCGCTCCGTTTGCGTGCATGGTACCTACTAGTGCCGCTCCGTTTGCGTGCATGGTACCTACTAGTGCCGCTCCGTTTGCGTGCATGGTACCTACTAGTGCCGTGCATGGTACCTACTAGTGCCGCTCCGTTTGCGTGCATGGTACCTACTAGTGCCGCTCCGTTTGCGTGCATGGTACCTACTAGTGCCGTGTCTATATAATGTTGTAACTTACAAAACTTATTGACTTAATGACTCAGCCTATACTACATGGAGATTTGTTACTATATAGACCTATAATTACTACAAATGCACTGTCAGCAGACGACGCCACCCACAATATAACTATAACTATATATCTAACTATAAATATATAACGCTGAGTCCAGGTAGGTACATGGTACCTACTTGAGGAGCTATTGATCATTAGACACATAGGAATTGCTACCGAATGTATATTATAATATACAACAAACATATGATAAATGTTTAATAAATTACCTAGTTTGAAACTCGCTCAAGCGAATCAGTGTTTTGGTGTAACTTTAACAAGTAAAATAGTCGCATTAATAGTGACTTAGATAGTGAATGTTCTAATACAACAGCTGTCAATATATTCTTACAGACAGCATTAAGCTCGTCGACTACTATCACGTGTAAAAAAACTATGTTTCCAGTCCTTCAAACAGAATTGGTAAAATATTGTGATACCGTAGGTAAGTCGCATAATCTAGTATTCATTAATAATTTGATTATAATGGATTATTAATAGATAATTTGATAAGAGTTCGAAGAAGACAGATCTTACAGTTTCTCGCCTGATTAGATTACTGATGACCAAACTCAATTTTTTTCCATAATCAGAGGAAAGGAACATCGCATAAATTCCTGATTCCTGAGGAAAGTAATTGATTAACTTAGTGAAAGTAAGCAAAAAAACTATATGAAATTATCTTTCCCTCTGACACTTAGGGGTCGATCACATATTACGTAATCAGCCGAGGGGGAGGGGGTTTCCAAATGATTACGCTAGTGTAATTTTGACTCAATAGCTATGTGTAAAACTGATTACGGAGGGGGAGGGGGGTTACAAATTGTCCAAAAAGTGATTACGTGATATGTGAACGACCCCTAAACTTATTGAAGGGTACACATACCATATTCGACACGCACGGAAGTTCAACACACACTAAAGTTCGACTCTGTCGAACTTTGGTGCGCTACTTGGACTATAGTTCGACACGCACTGAAGTTCGACAAGACTGTCGAACCTCAGTTCGCTACCTGAACAGGTCGTACTAAAGTTCGACAAGAGAACTGCGATTGGGTAGATAAGATAAATCTTGTAATTTAGATTAGCTTTAAAAACTCAGTTTCATTCAGTTTTATTTCATTACGTTTAATGACAGACTTTCATTCAACAATTATGAGTCACATATGATAAAGTTTGATAACGTTAATAGAAACTGTACATAATATAAATAATATTTAAAGTCAACAAGCAACCATGGATCCAACACACTTCAAATAATCCGTCCTTTCGAAGTCATCATAAGACAGGATAATGTTGTTCAGCCTCCTGTCGTAGTCCTTCCACTTTTTCTGTTGAGGAGGTGGGGCTGTCATCTTTTGGTCAATCATATTATTTGTATATCTTAAATGAGGGCAGCTGGGTCATATTTGCCATAAAACCCAAACTGGTTTTAAATCAGTCAACTTATGGTCTTCTATTCTTCTATTATTGGTTAAGCTTCGTACTTTCGTAGCAAACACTACAATCATTTTACAATTTACGCCAAATACATATAGATTATATAGTGAACCACACTTAAACCATTCTCAACATCATATTTTAAGTCTATCTTAAATGAGGGCAGCTGGGCCAAAAACCCTAGAATAGTTTATTTTCATAGCAACGTACTGTAAGTTTGTAGTACTGTAAGTTGGAATAAATTGTTTTTGATTTATGATTAAATTTTGATCGAACAATTGGCTAATTAAGTTAAATAAGAAGATTTTCGGGATTTTATGTTAATTTAAGACTCGGAGAGCATTACATCTGTAAATTGTAAATGGCATTGTACCTGTAAATGGCAGAGCACATGTAAATTGTAAAAGGCATTATTGAATTGAAGTACGCACGCTGTGTCGTGGCCCGTGATCGTGGGTCGAACTGTCAAATTATATACATGGTTGAGTACGCTTATATGGCATGGTATGAGGTCAAAAACAAATATGCTTCTACTGCAAAGATCTGGGATCTGCACGGTGCTGTCACTTTTTCAGGGGGTGCCCCCGCCACCCTGGTTACGTCCTTGATATCTTGATAATTGGCAAATTACAAGATGGACACAGGGCCACAAAAACAGAGAAAAACATCCTCTGAGAAGATATTGTATAGGGTCTACATTAATCAGGTGACGTGAGACGCTCGTAATACATAACAGATTTATGTACGCCAAAAAAGCGCGCATTTGCATGATATAACAGTGGCCGGCGGGGTGCCATACAAATTTATAGTTTGATTCATGGATTATATCGGGAAAAATATATCCACAAACTGAATTTTCAATGATCTAGCATGTCATCAAGGCGGACGAGGTAGCCAATCAAAATATGAAGCTGACTTCAAAAATCAAACCCAGCCACGTATACATATGTTAGACGTTAGCGATATAATTATAAGGTATTTTTCGTTATCAAGATAACACCACTGATTTGTACACACCTGATACCAAACAAATCTGTCTGAAATAATGGGTTTGCCGACACAGCAAGGTCAGCAAGCTTTCAGAGGATTTTGGGTTCCATCAGATGCCTCTTACGACCATTTCTCCAACCTTTTCCGCATGTCTTAAGGCCACTTTTTACCACCTTTCTTGTTCGTCAAATATGTTTAGTTGTCGACATCATTGGTAACATAAACAGCCTCGATTAATCGGCAATCTTGAACGATGTCCACAACTAAAGATATTTGACAAACAATTAAGGTGGCAAAAACTGACCTTAACGACACGTGGAAAAGTTCGGAGAAGTTGGTCAGCCGTAAAGGACATCCAATGGAACTCAGAAACGCCAAATATCCTTAGGCAGCATCTTGTATCGGCAAACCCATTTTTCATACCAATTTGTCTGTACTAGATTTCTTTCAGACAATGCGTACGACCCAGACGTCAATGCGACCCAACTGAAAATTGACATTGCTGACATCGAGGGGATGACATGCTTGACATTTTTGGATAACGGCGCTGGAATGTCCCCGCATACTTTGTATAAGATGCTTTCTTTTGGTTTTTGTGACAAGGTAAACTCCAAAAATAAATCAGTCAAATATCTAAAGTGAGTTAAATAATTATGCTTTCAGACCAGTAGTTGATAGTTGGTACTGTAACTGCAATTAATGTTTCAGACTAAAGGTATCATTAATGTCGAAAATTCATCAGTAATTTCTTGTTGCAGGACAAATACGCTGTGACTCGCCACAAACCGGTTGGTCACTATGGTAACGGCTTTAAATCTGGCAGTATGAGGCTTGGGAGAGATGCACTCGTGCTGAGCCGACACGGCCACGGCAAAGGTTCCAAATAGTATTCTTTTAAACATTTTAGTTGATTGCCATAAAATCTATTATACAGTATGTAATACCACCGATTCATTGTTTCATTTAATGATCTCACCTGATTGACCTTCCTATTTTTAGATAGTATCGTTAGTGTGGGCTTGTTGTCTCAGACGTATCTAGACGCAATTAAGTCAGAGACAATACTAGTACCAACTGTAAGCTGGTCCTACGTAACACACGAGCGTATTGAGTCCCCTGATGCTGAGGCCAGTCTACAGAGTATTATCAGGTACTTTTCTAACTTTTAACTCTACGCCAATTTAAGGGTTGTATTTTATCACCATTTTGTTTAGCAGTTTAGAATAAGCTGTCTAAATCCGACCAATTAAAGGGCTTAGTTTAATTACAATTTTGTTTAGAATAAGGGGGGGGGGGGGGGGGGGGGGTACCGACGGACATTAATGGCAGTGTTTTAAAATTTTGCTCAGACTGCCATTAATGCCCATTAATGCCCATATTTAATAGAAAAACGGGCAAAAATGGGGAAAAAAGTATGGGCATTAATGGCAGTATTTTAAAATTTTGCACATTAATGCCCATTAATGCACATTAATGCCCATTAATGCCCATATTTATTAGAAAAATGGGCAAAAATGGGAAAAAAACATGGGCATTAATGGCAGTATTTTAAAATTTTGTTCAGACTGCCATTGCCATTAATGCCCATTAATGCCCATTAATGCACATTAATGCCCATTAATGCACATTAATGCCCATTAATGCACATTAATGTCCGTTGGTACTCCCCCAGAATAAGCTGTTCAACATAAGATGTTTCGTGTCATTTAGTTATATTGTCACCGGGCATAAACATCACAAGTAAAGCTGGTCTGGCTTTACTCAGATCCGGGATAAACTAGTCAGGAGATTTCTATTTTATGTTTTAATCTTTGTAATCACTAAACCTCTCCTTTGAATCTTATTTAAAAGAAAGTATTTTTGAAGTCTGATGGGGTTAAATTGAATTGTGTTTCAGGTTCAGCATTTTCAAAAACGAGGCTGCAATTCTCTCCACTATTGCTACAAAAATAAAAAGTGAGTTTGTCAATAATGAAAAATCAAATACTTCGTTATGAGCTATTTTAGTGAATAATGATGTTCAATCATCATCATCATTCATCAGTCATGAAGGATGTGCTATTTAGGTGAACTTTACTACATAACAATTGATTTAAGGTTACCTGACTCAGAGGCAACATATACTGTGTAAGTGTGGTGGGCGAGGAATGGACCTAATACCGCACTTTTTTGCGCCATCGGCCGTTATTCGTACCATTATATTTGTGTACTTCAACTTTATATCGCTGTGCACAATGGGATAATATCTACATGCCCATACCTTAGATTCCGGGCCAAACGTGTTTCATGACGTAACATTTTAAAAATCAAAAAGTAGAGTAACTATTTAAATCAGGAAAAAAATATATAGAACAATTTTTATTTCTAAAAATATTTCTTTATTATCATTATCAGATGACAAGTTGATAATGCATTGACCTTTAATACTATCGATATTTGATAAAAACAAAAGAGAGCGAATCTTGGTAAATGAATAATTTGGTATGCTGGATCGTGATCCCTTAATTTATTGGAATTGAGTTACATTAGTCACATTAGTCACATAAGTCGCTTATACACACAATGTGTTGGAATCTTATGTTGCAAAGTTATAAAGTTATAATATTGAATACTCTAGTATCTACTTTAATTAAACTCATCACTAGCTCACCTAGCCTCAGCCATTCTGCACATCTCATTGTTAAACATTCACATGAGGATAATTCTAGGTTTATACTAGGTTTATACAATATACATCGTGACACTGCGTAAGACACTGCGTAAGTTAATTGTCGTGATAAACACAACTATCGTGTAAGGCAACGTTATATACTACGTTAATGAATAATCCAACCTGAGAGTACTTCAAGGCTACCAATTTGGCGAATTGTCCAGCTCAATTGCGGTGTTTTTTGTCTCAAATTTGCCGCACATAAAAACGTTTTGGGCAAGTATGGAGTCGCATTAAAATACACCTACATGCTGCCTCTATCAGTTGTCACATGTTTATTACAATTTATCAAAACAACAGCAATTACTGACATATCTTTCAGAGACAGGAACGTACATATTGAGCAATTACTGACATATCTTTCAGAGACAGGAACGTACATATTGAGCAATTACTGACATATCTTTCAGAGACAGGAACGTACATATTGAGCAATTACTGACATATCTTTCAGAGACAGGAACGTACATATTGAGCAATTACTGACATATCTTTCAGAGACAGGAACGTACATATTGAGCAATTACTGACATATCTTTCAGAGACAGGAACGTACATATTGAGCAATTACTGACATATCTTTCAGAGACAGGAACTTACATATTGAGCAATTACTGGCATATCTTTCAGAGACAGGAACGTACATATTGAGCAATTACTGACATATCTTTCAGAAACAGGAACGTACATATTGAGCAATTACTGACATATCTTTCAGAGACAGGAACGTACATATTGAGCAATTACTGACATATCTTTCAGAGACAGGAACGTACATATTGAGCAATTACTGACATATCTTTCAGAGACAGGAACTTACATATTGAGCAATTACTGGCATATCTTTCAGAGACAGGAACGTACATATTGAGCAATTACTGACATATCTTTCAGAAACAGGAACGTACATATTGAGCAATTACTGACATATCTTTCAGAGACAGGAACGTACATATTGAGCAATTACTGACATATCTTTCAGAGACAGGAACGTACATATTGAGCAATTACTGACATATCTTTCAGAGACAGGAACTTACATATTGAGCAATTACTGGCATATCTTTCAGAGACAGGAACGTACATATTGAGCAATTACTGACATATCTTTCAGAAACAGGAACGTACATATTGAGCAATTACTGACATATCTTTCAGAGACAGGAACGTACATATTGAGCAATTACTGACATATCTTTCAGAGACAGGAACGTACATATTGAGCAATTACTGACATATCTTTCAGAGACAGGAACGTACATATTGAGCAATTACTGACATATCTTTCAGAGACAGGAACGTACACATGAGCAATTACTGACATATCTTTCAGAGACAGGAACGTACATATTGAGCAAATACTGACATATCTTTCAGAGACAGGAACGTACATATTGAGCAATTACTGACATATCTTTCAGAGACAGGAACGTACATATTGATCTACAACCTGCGAAAGAGTGCCACCGGAGAGCATGAGTTTGACTTCAAGAAGGATGCAACAGATATCTGTATTGTGGAGGACGAAACAACAACAGATAACATGCTGTACGCTCCCCAGGATAGGATCAACACTAATCCTACTACCTATTACTCACTTCGGGTACCTTCCTTGATTTAATATTGCTTCTTTGTGTGTTCTATATTTCCTCTCTTTCTATAATGCTACTCTGATTTAACTATTAACGTTTCAAACTTTCAGGCATACTGTTCAATCCTGTTCCTCCGACCAAAGATGCAAATATTCGTGCGGAGCGTAAAAGTTAAAACTAAACTTATAAAGAAGTCACTCTCTAAGACACTAGTGGATACCTATAGGCCTCAAGGAGTAGACAGACTCCAGAAAATAGTGTTTGGTTTCAGTCCTGAGACCGAGAATTATGGGATCATGATGTACTACAGGAACAGACTTATTAGAAGTTATGTCAGAGTCGGATATCAAACTAAGGTACGGGCTGCTTGTTGTGATCTCTTACATAGGATATTAAACATTACAATGCTGATATCTTAACGCAAGTGCTACATTGAAGCTGATTCTCGTTATTTCAGCCAAACAGCATGGGAGCCGGTGTAGTCGGGATTATTGAGTGTAACTACCTTACACCAACTCATAACAAACAAGATTTCGATTACAACAAACATTACCGCTCAACCATGTTCGCTTTAGGACAGAAACTCAATGATTACTGGTATGACTTTTTCGTATTATAAACAAATCATGCTATCAGCTGCTAATGAACATGGTCCCAGAAATATATTGAGACTGCAAAAACTTTAAATCTGGGCCCTTTTGTGTATTAATAACGAAGAGAAAATAACGGTTGTGTTTTTACAGGAACGAGAAGTGTGGTGACCAGGAAATGCCCCCGGAAACGGTTTCAGAACTAGTTCCAGACCAACTGTGGGTTCAGTGCGAGAACTCTGACTGTTTGAAGTGGAGGAAAGTTCCTGGTAACCTTACTCCAGATGACCTTCCTGAAAAGGTGCGTTCTAGTATAGTGCTCTAGTATAGTGCTCTAGTATTAGTATAGTGTTCTAGTATAATACTCTCACTCAGACTATTTGGAAAAGTTTATTTTTACATTTACGTAGAGTTACCTTACTCCAGATGACCTTCCTGAAAAGGTTCGTTCTAGTATAATGCTATTTGGAAAAGGTTATTTTTACATTTACGTAGAGTTAAATATGATTGAGCGTTTTTCTTCTTTTTAAAATCATAAAACATGAAACTATTTTCAGTGGTATTGTAAAGATAACTCGGATCCCAACTATGCGAGCTGTGATTCTCCAATGGAGCAGGAGGAGATGGAACAGGATTCTGAACCTTATGTCAAAACCTTTAAACGAAAGTGAGTAATTAATAATTTCACATAACAAATTATTATTAAGATCAATATTTTCACAGTTTACTAATCCTTGAAGAGTCTGCTGATCATTTTTTGGCAGATATTTTGTTGATGTTTTGACTTTGCAGTAAGCAGAGGGCAGCAGAATCACAGAGAGTAGCAGACTTGATCATGGAGAGACAAAGACAAGCTAAGATCATGGAACAAGCGCAAAGAAATCAGAATCAGATTACTGGTGGTCCCGTTTTCACTGTTAGTTTTATTTTCTCTATTATTTTCCCATTCTGTCAACTAGAAATAAGGTTTTGAACCTGAAACAACAGCTTATACTTTGCCAGATCACAGATCGTTTTAAAGCCATCATTTGATGTTCAAATAGCGAGTTTGTCATGAGCTGTTCCACGTCAGGTTGGTAGCATGCAACGTATCCCGAACGGACCACAAAATGGAGCTAACGGGACAGCTATATCAGTTGATGATGACGAGATTAGGATTCTACCCTCCTCCCCCGCTGCTCGAACTTTCAACTCTAACCAACCCATCACTTCGCAGGTACTTTATTTGTCAATCAGTTTTTATAACGTGAAAACTGAACGCATTACGATCCAATGTTGCTCTATAATAGTAACCCTTATTTTATATACGACATTTCGATGTTCAACACCGTCCAAATATCCCCCCGACAGTAAATATTATTTTCTGGGATACTTTACTGTTTTAGGTTGTGTCACAAAACGCGGCAGCTGTAGCCATGAAACAACGCAAACCTAACAACGATGACGATGAGCTCGTTGTAACAGCTGTAACACAAGGTAAACACAGAGAGACACATTTAGTTTAGCAGTATCGACCAGTAGCGAATGACCGTGTATCAACCCCCCCCCCCCCCCCCCCCCCCCCCCCCCCGTATCAGGTTTTACCTCCTACTTTAACACATTCTTCTCCCCACAGCGAGAACACCCCTCACGAAACGACCCGCCCCCCAAACCCCAGTCAACCTGTCTAACAAGAAAAACAAAACAGCCAGCGCACATCTGTTTATCGTAGACGGTCCCAACACGATAAAAGAAATGGGGCTGACCAGCCCTGAGGACCAACAGATAGTCACTAAACTTGTGAAACTTCACCCTAAAACCAGATGGAATCTCTTAGTTAGCAGAACTCTGCAGCTTAGGGACTTGCGAAGTCAGGTAACTAATCTCTTAGTTAGCAGAACTCTGCAGCTTAGGGACTTGCGAAGTCAGGTAACTAATCTCTTAGTTAGCAGAACTCTGCAGCTTAGGGACTTGCGAAGTCAGGTAACTAATCTCTTAGTTAGCAGAACTCAGCAGCTTAGGGACTTGCGAAGTCAGGTTAGTTAGCAGAACTCTGCAGCTTAGGGACTTGCGAAGTCAGGTAACTAATCTCTTAGTTAGCAGAACTCTGCAGCTTAGGGACTTGCGAAGTCAGGTAACTAATCTCTTAGTTAGCAGAACTCTGCAGCTTAGGGACTTGCGAAGTCAGGTAACTAATCTCTTAGTTAGCAGAACTCTGCAGCTTAGGGACTTGCGAAGTCAGGTAACTAATCTCTTAGTTAGCAGAACTCTGCAGCTTAGGGACTTGCGAAGTCAGGTAACTAATCTCTTAGTTAGCAGAACTCTGCAGCTTAGGGACTTGCGAAGTCAGGTTAGTTAGCAGAACTCTGCAGCTTAGGGACTTGCGAAGTCAGGTAACTGCAACTAACTAACTATGTATAAATTTAGATTATTTGCTGTATTTGAGTAATTGCTAAGAGTATTCATTATTGACGTTTGTTGTTTGAGGTTTCAGTTTGAACCATTTCACAGTTCATACCATTGTCCAAATCATCGTTGCAGCTATTCGGTCCCTTTCATCGACTATTTGTTATTTTCAGGTTTGTGCTTTACTCCAAATGCTGGTTCCAGAGCTTGATCAGAATGCTGTAGGCGTCAAAACGGAGCCAGTGGACGGAACTAAACTCGTCTCACTCCTAAACCAGGTTTTAGAGGCTAACCAAGCCGGCGACGACGGACCCTCGTCCCAACTCACGACCTCATCAGAGCAACCAGTCAATTCACAAACTGCAAATTCCTCTAGTTCATCAACCGTAAAAACAGAAATTTTTAATCCATCCAGTTATAGGGGCGCCATTTGATTGAGGCCGAATGTTTTTGTGGCTATTATCATATGATAGATTGAAGTGCCTTTTTTAATCAAATTTAAATTATTTTATATATTGGAGCCGTAATCGTAACTTCGTTACTACGTTGTGAAGCACCCTTACTCTGCCATTTAAAAAAAGAGTAACATTAAATTCGTATTTGGAAGATTATTTGTATTGAGAAAATGGCGTTTTAAAAATTAGTTGACGCACTTGAAATAGTCATGTTGTTTTCAGATAGCTATCTTGATCAGCAGATTCAAGTAAGAATTTACGTTGATATCATAATTCATAATTAGCTTTTATATTGATCAGGATCTGTCCACTAAGTTTTCAACCAATTTTATCAAATAAATAAATCATGTACTATTAAGTTTTAGAGTAGGTTTTCGTTAGTTGTTTCCTGAGTCATGAGTAAACATCAGTATTTGTATCAATCGCATTTGTATCAATCGCATTTTTACATATTTTGGCTGTATGTATAAAATTTTGATTGTGATGACACTAGTATTAATATGATGGCATTCAAATAAAAGTTATATTTAACGATAGTCCTAGTTAATAATCTCATATTTTATCGATTCACTCTATTTATTTATACCGTTACACTGTCAACTGTAGACGTAACTATGAAAAGAATTTTCTTTGTACTTGATTTCCTTATTTGTTATTATCTTTGTGCGCGCTTACACAGTTCGCTGGCCTATTAGTATTGCTCACTCCTCTCATTACATGGATAGTTACAGTCTGCGAGCGGAGAGGGAAGAGAAATAAGAAACGAATGCGCGCAGAGGGCAAAGTCTATGTTCTATTATATCCTGGTGCACACCAGTTTCTATGCGCGGCGCTCTTTTCTTACCTGGGGAAGTGGGGACCTCAGGCTATCATGTTCATAAACATAGAGATTCGGCGGAATGACAGGCTGAGCGCGCCCAGCAGACCTTACCGGCTAGCGATATATAATATTACTACAGGGTGATCGCCTTTTCACAGCTTGTTGAGCTCCGCGCGCGCTCGTGAGTTCATTGCATTTGCACGCTTCAAACATTCCAAAGATGCAATTGTACCGCGTACCACGTGATACGATTCAGCCAATCAGAGAACAACAATCTGCAAAGTTAAAGCTGCGCAGTTTTATATGGCCTAAAATTGAAAATATGACTTTTCGCGATAATCCAAAATCTACGTTGTTTTCAATTTTCCTCATTGACGATGTCAATCCGTCAAGATCGTTGCTCTGCGAAGCAAGAATGCTAGTTCGCGCGGCGCGTCGAAGCGGCGAAGTCCTCCAACCTCCTGGGGAGGAAACGTTATTTTTACAAGGCGAACATTTTATTGAAAACCAGACGTTTCTATCTCTTTTACTTTCAAAGTTAGGCCCCTAACAGTAAGGTTTCCTGGGCGGCCCAGTAACTCTTTTCAAGCTGTTTGCATACTGCATACTTACTTGTTACTAGTTACTACACGTTGTATATCTCTCTCGTGCGCGCGATCTTCAAAATTAAAAGGGGTTGCAGCGTGTGTCAACTGCATACGTAGTGAGAGTTAATGGATGTTACCGCTCCCACTAAATCGCCCGCCCAAATTTTAAGAAAATTACTGCGAAAAGGCCTTGGAGGACTTCGACGCGCCGCGCAAACTAGCATTCTTGATTCGATCGACCGTCGTCGATCGTTGCTTTGCTTTGCTGAGCAACGATCTCGACGGCCGGATTGACATCGTCAATCAAGAAAAGGCCATGATGGTATGAAAGTAATCTAATTCGGTGTATTTTTGAACGCTGATTCCGAATCACCATCCATGATCGGTAAAAGCAATAAGCATCCTACGGGAGGATCTGCAATCACTCAAACCACCCTGCCGAATCAATATAACCTTTACACATTTTGCTGGGCACAAACTGAACAGATATATAGGAACACCTTTCGTTTTAACGTGGATACTCTTATTAATACTATTGATTTTATTTTAGATAATTTATATTTTAGCATGGGGAATATGACTTTTAGACAAATTATTGGTGTCCCTATTGGGGTAAACCCAGGACCCTTTATTGCTAATCTTACACTTTTTTATTATGAGTATAAATATTTAGATAAACTCTATAGGATTGATTATTATAGCGCTAAGAGACTTAATAACACGTTTAGATTAATTGATGACATTACTACTATTAATTCTGATGGTGTCTTCCAGGAGCATGCAGCCAATATTTATCCTGATAGTTTAACTCTTAATAAGGAGAACACCGAGGACACTAGTGCTCATGTCCTAGATTTGAATATCTCTATAGTTGAAGGTTATTTTATTGTAGAAGTTTATGATAAACGGGACGATTTCCCTTTTAATATAGTCCAATATGCCCCTAAATGTAGTAATATGTCCAGAGATGTTTTTGGGTCGCAACTAGTCAGATTTTTTAGAATTTGTAATCAGTTTGAAGGTTTTAGGAAACGGGTTGAACTGATGTTAAACGCGTTTATTAAATTAGGTTTTGATAGGAAGCTGTTGAGTAACAAATTCCGACGAATAGCTGAAAAACATGGATTTCAGAAGAAGTTTGACATGATCAGTACACTTGACTACTTGTTTGAGAACCGATTACCCCGTCACCTCACTTGCTCCTAGTTCTACATTGTGATGCATGACGTGTAGCGGTGTAGTACTGGAACTGGGAAGGTGACTGTGGTTGTTAGTTTACACTAGTTTTGTGTGCTGTGTTTTGTTGGAATCCCCTGCTGTCGTGTTTGAAGTTGTTCTTTTGTAATTATTATTATTTTTGTTTATCGTAGCTTTATGAACGTATAACTTTATGAACGTATGATATTTGGTAATTAAATTATTAATATATTTTAGGAGAAAAGTGAGGGAAAGATGATAGTTTGGCCAGTAATACTTGTATAAGTCGCCAATGCACAATCTAAAGTTTGTGGACCTCAGTTAAGCCTTTCACTTTTTTTTTTTTTTTTTTTTTTTTTATGTTGGGGCACCCACTTTACCTCCCTATTGGGAGGCTACGTCCGTCATTAGTGACTAACGTCTATTGGGGTTCCTCTGGTTGTAGGTGTCAGTAGGTTTGGGTCACTTGGCATGGGCTAGTGATCCCGCCCCTCCAGAGGATAAAGCCTGGTGAGCGACGTTTCCCGTTAGGGAAACTGTCGTAATGCTCGGTCACGGGAGAACACCACCCATGCCTAGATGTTCTCCCGGGTACTCGATAGAACAGGCTGCCCCCTGTCATTCTAGTGGGCTGACAGGAACCTACCAGGCATGCCTGAGCCTCTGATGGAATATACCCATCTCCTTTGTTATTTTTGTGTTAATTTTGTCTTTGCGCGGCTCAATTTCCGCGCTATACTAAAGTGCTGACTCACGAATTTACATTCGATATTTGCATTTTGAGTAGACCCTTTTGCTGTCGCAATTTTGCAATTTCTTTGTTCACGTAATTATTGCTAATTTTACGTTTGCTGGAAATAATCTAGGTGCTATATCTCCAATAGCTGGCAGTTTGTCTGATTGTTAGATCCCCTCTAACTGGTAGCGGCCCTAAGGCTGGCAGTTTGTCTGATTGTTAGATCCCCTCTAACTGGTAGCGGCCCTTAGGCGGCATGTGAGTGAATGAGTGAGTAATAAAGTGAGGTGTAGGAGAAATGGGGAAGAAAACATGAATATGAAAGTATGGTACACTGTTGCCAGCTGACTCACCAGCAACAATGCAAGTCCAAGAAGAAAGAAGGAGAGACACCGTCCGTTATCTGGGTGAGCCACCACAGACAGTGCTCCCACTTCTGTGGGGCTGAGGGTGTTGGCTCCAAGAACCAGCCGTAAGCGAACAGCGCCTGACCCCCTCTATGGTTAACTTGCGAATAACAGGACTATGCCTTTCTCCAGGCCAATCCGTTCAGTAACCAGCTGACCCAGCACCATCTCTGATGGAAGATGTGGTTCGGATTGGACTTCGCTAGGATTTGTCAGTTTTTCTGTAGACACTAATGCTCCCTCGAGCAAAGACATGAGCCCCGGCGAAGCTGACCAAAAACGTGGCAGGGATTCTCACCCTACGATTCTCACCCTAAGCCTTTCACTTGTTAATATTATATATACAGGGTGGCCCATAAGTGACTACCCACACGCAACCTCTTAATAACTCACGTAATTCGTCTCCAAATTGCACCAAAATTTCAGAGATTATAGATATGGGTCAAACTTAGATTTCCTGAAAGTTTCGTAAGCCACGCCCAATTACAGTGGGCGTGGCGTGACACTCCCTCTTTTTCACTATTGTCTTCATAAAATGAGAACGCTTTAAGCTAAGAACTCAAAATTTTTTGCACACATTTAGCTTGATAATTGAAAACCTTTCCCAAAGTTTCAAGTTCATTGGTTAAAATATGGCTAAGTTATGACCATTTCAAAACTCATCGGATACGTGATCCGAGTACTCAGTCAGTGATCTCGTCACTTGGTTAATGGCCTGCACATGCACCGCTTGATTGGTTGCAGCCTGCTTATGGGCCGGCCTATACAGCTGACTGCACCTAAAACGCTATCACACGAATTTATGATGGTGTCACCATTTCAGGGCTTGTTAGCCCTGCTAGTCACAGGTTCCATACAATCAATAAAAAGGAATGAACCATCCATTGAATCATCGAACCGGGCCTACCGAATCACAAAGAAACACAAACTTTTGGACCGTGATTTCCAATCGAGGATAGATTTCGCCAACACATTCCTGTCCAAGCAGAATGTGGATCCCTACTTTGAGGACGAAATCTGGTACAGCGACAAGGCCATATAAACGGATATGTCAACTCCCAGAATGCAATTCACTGGGGCTCTACTAGACCGGATGAAGTGGTGGAGAGAACGGCTTTTCCTGAAAAGTCACGATCTGGTTTTTATCCAAAAAATTTGTGTTTCCCTTTCTAGCAAAGTCATCATCGGTATCCAATCAAAGCCTAATGAACCTCATTAATACACGCTAACGCCTTACTCTTGATCAGATTGGGTGACGAGATCACTAATTGAGTGCAAATATCACTGACTGAGTGCTCGGATCACATATCCGATGGATTTTAAAATGGTCATAACTCAGCCATATTTTAACCAATGAACTAAAAACTTTTGGAAAAGTTTTCAATTATCAAGCCAAATGTGTGCAAAAAATTTTGAGTTCTTAGCTTAAAGCGTTCTCATTTTATGAAGACAATAGCGAAAAAGAGGGAGTGTCACGCCACGCCCACTGTAATTGGGCGTGGCTTACGAAACTTTCAGGAAATCTAAGTTTGACCCATATCTATGATCTCTGAAATTTTGGTGCAATTTGGAGACGAATTACGTGAGTTATTAAGAGGTTGCGTGTGGGTAGTCACTTATGGGCCACCCTGTATTTGAATGCAACTTTTAAAGCAAAAAATGCCAAAAAATGTGCCAACATGCCGCATGCGACGTTACGCCATTGTTGTTAAGCTGTATAGATCAAATTTAATCGATACAATTTTCGTACGCATCGTCAGTAATAAAAATCTAATGTTTTGATAAATTCTTTGAAGATGATTTCTCTTGAAAAACAAACAGAATTGTAAGTACAAAGGAGTATACTGCACAGGTATACTCTTTGTCATCCGGTATACTTAGTAGTCATGTCATGTCTACTTCGTCTTTGTTGTGCATATCTATGTAACATGCTAATAGTAAAGGTCATTCAAACAATATATACATTCAATTAAATCAAGTGATGCGATTAGCAGAGCACAATCAAATCAAGATCACAATACAGCACTGAGCACATAGGTAACGGAAATGGTCCATTGCAATATGGACCAACATTTTTGAACTTCAAACAATTAAATATATACACACAATTCTTCAAAACACATGGCCTACTCTATCATAGGGGCAGGGATGAGATTGTATGAGACTTCTGATAGAGGGGTCTCATGTTTGTTGTCCATCTTCTTTCCTCTGTACCCATGTAGCGTAGAGCAATAAGAGTTGTTCTCAACATTGCAAATCTTATCCTCGTCCTCACATGTCTTACCACATCACAATATCGCTCCTTCATCTTTCTTGCTAGATCCGCTAGTCTGTTGACAAACTGTTAACACTGCTTAGACATGCCCGCGGATGTTAGAAATACAGCCAGGGTGACACTAACTAACATTTTAATAAAACAGCAGGGTTGAAAACTAGGCAACCAGGTTGAAATTTGTATAATAATTCTAATCACAGATTTGCTCCATAAATTATAAACATATTTCTCGTTTTAGGTTCAGGGAAATGAGATTAAAAGACTTTTCTGCGCTTTGTTTTGACATGGACTTCACTCTTGTGAACTATTCTCTGAACAAATTCCTACCGATGGTGTACGATGTCACAGCCCAGTTTTTGGTTGAGAAAAAAGGGTATCCAAAGACTCTCAAACATCGGGATGAGTCTGATGTAAGTCTATTTAACCAGTTTTCAGCATGTATATTGAATATTCTTTTGTACAATGTGACCAAAAATTAATTCCAAATGTTCAACTCTGCAGCAAAGCAGTTTAAAGTTGTTTCAAAGATAAAGACTCAACAGTTCTACTTAAAGAGGCGAACATGTACATATTACCGAAGTCCAATCTTGTTTTATAATTTCTTTTTATTCAGCTGAAGCTGATTCGCCAGGGACTTATATTGGATAAAACAACACATCATTTCCTGGATATATCATCTACTGGTGAAGTCATTTCAGCTTTTGACGGAAACAACTTTCTTAGCCACAAGAAGGTAAATCAAATCAAATAAAGGTACAAAATCTATTACCAGTCGTACAAATTGTATGATTGTTTTTTGATATTTCGGCACAAATGTCAGTATAGTCTCCCAGCCGTGTTTTGGGGGCCGAAATAGTTCTTAAAGATGTTTTTCATACATTTGTTTCACTCCGCTCCAGTTGCAGTCTGGTAGTGTTAAGCTTCATAACTATTTTCAATTTTTTCCTAACCTTCCTATACCATCGTAAATATCTTGGTCTTGTGTAAATGTAATTGTACATCAAACAAAAACTTATCTGAGAGACCCTTGCCTATAACAGGCCTGATATAATGAGTGAATTCTATATTGAAGATATTTTAAAGTATCACAGTACAGCTGGTTGACTATGTAGTAAAGTATTGAACTTAATATATATCAAAACAGCATAATTTCAGATATTGGAGCTCTATCCAGACAGAAGGTGGTCATATTTTGACACGTTTTACAAAGGGTTTGAATGTGATGTAGCTACTGTATCACATGATGAGCTACCTTACTTCTTTTACGACTCTGCGTTTGTATCTCCGGTTATTCCAGTTATGGCCAAACACATGAAGTCTCTTAGCCGCTGTGAATCTGATTTCAGTGAAAAATGCAAAACTTTATACAAAGATACGTTGGAATCTTTTAACTTTAATTTCCATCCAGATAACTTTAAGAGAAATACAGGCTTCTTTTTCCCAGAAATGATGAAAAATACCGATTTGTACATTGACAAAGCCTCCCCAAAATTCAAGAACCGACTTAAAGAACTAAAAGATAATGGTGTAAAACTTGTACTGGTAACAGCATCACATGTTGATTATACTGAGCTCCTCATGAATTATTCATATGGTTCCAATTGGAGGGAGTATTTTGATATTGTCTGTTGTCGAGCCCGCAAGCCAGGTTTCTTTACATCAAGTCCAGTTTCTCGTCCATTCTATCGATGGAACTTTAAAAACGACTCCATAGGCAATGAAACAATGCCAGAGTTAAACTGTAAGGATATATTTTTTGAAGGACATTGGACATGTGTGGACAAGTGGATCAAGTGTAACGCAACAAGACCAGGACGTGTCGCGTATGTTGGAGATTCTTTTAAATCAGATATCATTCCCACAAAACTGTTTACTTCTTGGGACCAAATGGCAATTGTTTGGGAGGGTCAGAAATATTTGAGAGAAAAATCTAGTGAAAAGCTTGATCACGTGAATAAAAAGGTCCACCTTGAAGAAAATGAGGAATGGGGAAGTTTCTTTGGAAGTGAGAAACAATTTACTATGACTGCTGGTAAATTGATGGCTCATTCTGATATTGTCTTTAGTAATGTTGAAAGTCTTGCTTCATTAGAAATGGATGAAAATTTTGAATCCGGTTGTTTTTACGATTTTGATCCCTATGAATAAACAGAAAACATTATTCGTTTAAGATTCATCAATATTATCACTAAATCATTTCTGATATACTGTATTTATTATTATTTAGCTTTTTAGGCTTGATAAGCATGTATAGTTTAAATAATTTTTATATAGATTGCAATTTTTATAATTATATATTGGGGGTTTGTATTCAAAATGCAGTATCTACTTGAAAAGATTGCTTGTTTATTTTTTATGTTAATACGATATTATTTAAAGTAAATAGCATGTTATCAGACAATGTTATATCGTCATTAACTCACCATAGCAGTGCATCAGTCATTGAAATTAAGTTAAACCTAAACAGTAAGTTTTGAGGTTGTTAAAATACTGCAAAATCCACTTTCAGTAATATATCCTAAATTTAGCATGACGTGTTAAATGACACAGTTCATTTTAATGTTCTATCTGTTCAGGTCAGTTTAATCTTTTTTAAATAATCAGGCGACTATCTTAGCAGGAAAAATGTAGCCAGACAACGTCCTATAAAGTTGTAAAGCCATGGCAGTCTCAAGAGTCATCACCTCCAAACTACAGTCCCACTTCATACCCTCCTTCTTAGAAGTTATAAACGAGAGCTACATGCACAATGTTCCCAAAGGATCAGAAACTCACTTCAAAGTTCTGATAGTGTCAGAAAAGTTCGAGGGTACACCCCTAATAAAGAGACACAGAGAAGTTAACAGTTTGCTTGCGGAGGAGTTACAGGGTGGTGTTCATGCGCTGAGCATTGTTGCTAAAACTCCGACTCAGTGGGGTTCTGATCCTAATGTTGTGAAGAGTCCTCCATGTTTAGGGGGTTCTAAGTTGTGAATCATTTTCAGGTTGATCATTGTTTTTTATTTTAGAATCGTTTTTTTGTTTTGTTTGGGGTTTCTGTGACATGTTTTATTGAAAACTGTTCCGCTTCACAAAATGAGGAAGCATGATTAATGGCATTCAGCTGTGAAAGTTAATTGGATCATAAGAATTATGAGCTGTATCCTGTACAGCACTAAATCTTTTATATCAAAGGGGAAGACGATCTATATTCATGTTTTTGTCATTTATTTATTACACTTGACTAGTTGTTCGTTAAAAATTTGTTGGCATTCAAATTCGAATTGACTTTGAATAGACCTGTGACGGGGGGGATCAGGTACCAAGTGCCGGACATCACGTCGACTAAGTGTAGTTTTGGATATTTTTCACTAGACCCACCCACCCCCTTTGTGGTACTAACTGTTTTTTTGGATAATACGTAAGACACCCACCCCTTTTGCCGCCTTTTGCGGTACTAACTGTCGAAAAATCGTGGTACTAACTGTTTTTTGGTATATAGAATAAGATACCCACCCAGAAGTTGCTTTTTTTAAAGAGCTCATTTAATTTTTAAAGGAAGACTTTACAAAATTTTAAAAATTAAAAAAAAAACCCACAAAATTTTTTTTAAAAACCTCAAAACCCATTCCCAAAATTGAAATTTGAGGTAAAATGGGTTTTTTTGGGGTTAGACACCCCCTTTAGTACCATGTACTAACTGTTTTTCTGGAAAATGGGCAGTAGACCCACCAGTTAGTACCATGTACTAACTGTGTTTTTAGAAGAAAAAATGACCCACCCACCAACGTGATGTCCGGTACTAAGTGTATGATCTCCCCCCGCCTGTGATGATATAAATTATAAATATTAGACGAAACAATTTTATCAATATAATATAATTTATCATTTCATTTAGTGAATATGGAGAGTGAGACTCCAGATAATATATTCGAGGATATGGAAAACGAAACTCCAGAACAAATATTCGAGGAGGAAATACTGGAGGAGGTCTCTGAGAAGGTTACTGAGAAAGAAGTACCAGTTGAGGCAGCTCAGAATGAGACACCTGACCAAGTTAAGGCAGTAGTGGAGGAAGCTGCAGAGAATGTACCTTCAGATTTTTTGTCTGAAGAAAAGCATGTTGAGTCAGCAGTGCAAATGGCTGCGCAGGAAGACGCTGAGATTGCCGATGAACAAACTGAAATTACTGAGAAAGGAGATGTAGAGGAGGCAGCGACTGATCAAGACGTTTCTCCATCCGAGGCTGAAGTGGAACCAGCAGAACCTGAGAAAGAGCCAGAAGAACAAATTGTCACAGAAGCTATAAAATGTACCGAAGAATCTGAGGATCTAGCTGAAGTTGCTGAGACAGGACATACCATCGAGACAGCAGATGCAATTGTTCCTGAAGCTGTCCACGAAGCAACAGAACCAGCGGAGTCCCTCAGGACTGACGAGACTTTAGATAAGACCAGCTCAGACGAAGGCTCTGATAAGCCTGCGTCTGATGTGGAGATGACTGAGCTGACAGCTAGTAGTGATGATGGTTCAGTTGGAGAGATGCTAGGAGGGGAGGGTGATGGTGACATGGGTCCTGCCGAACCTGAGCTGATGGAAGTTGAGGAGTGCGTATCTCAAGAAGAGGTAATTAATAGTTGTTTGAATTATAGTGGTTGTTGAGTTTTTAGGTTTGTTGACTTATATAAAGCAAAAGTGGAGTCTTTGATCTTCCAATTTCGTAATATCAAACAATTTAAACTGCGACTAACCGAACTCTTTGACCATAAAAGTGATAAACTCTTTTATAAAAGTTTAACTAAATTATTTTCCACAGGATCTTCAAAACCTGACTACAATCGCCGTCTCAATAAACGGCAACGTGGTACAAGCCGAAGTGATCGAACAAGGAGATGAAGCTGTGATGGAGCCAGGGGAGGAGGCGGATGAAGAGGAGGAGCAGGCCACGGTGGAGGAGAACCAACACGACGAAACGGATATTGTAACGGAGATGCCGGAGACCACGACAGTGCCTCCCCATCCTCGACCTCAGGTGTTCGCTGAGATTATTGAAGAAGAAATCATTGAGGAGGAAACTGTTGAGGTAGGTTTTGTTTGAATTGGTTGTGCACATTTGACATGTCAAGTGTCAATACATATTTTCAAGAGGTATCTACTGTTAACTTTGTTCTGTAAGTTCTCTATTGTATTTTATTAATCGACCATTTTTGCATTCATATACCGTATTATGTACATAGTTGTACATATTTTATAGTAATATTTTTCTAGAATTAGCTCAATCACAACACACATAAGTCAACACCACCACCAACACCCACACCAGGTGCTAAACAACAAGCCCTCCTCACAAGAGCCACCCCTCCACTACAAACACCTATCACCCTACTACACCACGGCCGGCTCTAACCACATGCACCAGCACTGTAACCCCGGGTTTCGTGCTGACAGCGGTTATCCGGGTCAGCCAGTACCTCAGCACTCACTCCGCCCTCCACTTCTTCACCACAACTACCACCCACAATACCCCCAACAGCAACATATTTACTCACAGTCTGGGGGCCATGTTTATTCCGAACATTTTTCTTATTCTCACGATGATCAGCGTAATTGTAATAATGTTGGCCGATGGTTGTTTGAGAAACCCAAAGAAAATGCAAATGTGAGCAAGTTTAGATTTTTAGAGATTCACACTAAATTCACGCTACCAACGATGTTCATTTTCATTCATGCGTTTTCGCCATTTCATTCACATAGTTTACTTTGAGGTGCTACCGTCGCGTAGGATACACTAGTATAGACAGTTCATATAATCTAATCTCCGGAGGGGTGCTCAGTGAAACCTCTAGAAGTAATGAAATATAAAGATCACAGAACCCTTATATTCTACAGATGATAAACAACCGCGAAGAGAAGCAAAGACACCAGTCAGACGACATTATTACCTCTCTGGACGCACCAGCCCCTCACTCCACCACTTCTAGGTACCCAGCTTAGTGTTTATTTGCTCTTCAGAAGTTCACACCTTTTGAAAGTCCTAGAAATGTTGCTAAAGTTTGTGCACATCCCTTTTCAGCTGCGCATATTATGATTATATTGTGTCTAAATATTTAGAATATTCCCCGCTGGATTACAACTCACAACACCGTCACTCTTGGTTCTTGCCCTTTTTCACTCATAAGCAGTTTTAAAATTCCGTGTATTCAGGAGGCTACAAGCTCGAGAAGATGCAGCTAAACGCAAGGACGAGTCTATGTTACTTTCCACTAAGAAGATTATCGACAGTACAGATGATGTGCTCCGCTCTGCACAGGCTCTTTTGAAGAGTACTGAGAATAAGGATGGAGTGGAAGAATCAGCTGGAAAACAACCCAGCAGATACCCAGGTAAACCAATTAATTTACCTTCACTAAAAACCCATTTTGGCCTACCTCTATTCTCGAGTCATGAGACACAGGCCAGGAAAGTGGAAACCATGTTTGAAAGATTGAATTACTCATAAATTTGTTTTCAGCTGGTGACATTTATCAGCCTCAGCCACGCGAAAAACGACAGAAGAAAAAGAAGTCTAAGGTATGCTAAATATGGTTGATTGTCTTACTTAGCAAGACTATTGCTAATTTTACCCGTACGTACACTGCGCGGCGCAATACATGTGAGAAACACCGATGCTTACATCTTTTGCTTAGAAATAAGTGCGCGTTTTCATGCAAAGTAAATATTGTCAGTGACCAATTAAGTTATAGTGGGGGCTTGCGATAGCATGCTTTAATCTTCCCGCGACTGGCATGAAATTTTGTTTTTACAAAAAATAACACATCACATCGAATTTTTCAGCCTGATCTCCAAAAAGAAAAGGAGATTGACCCAGATTACGATCCTGAAGACGATTTCGACGACAAAGAGTTCTTGTCTCCTAAAGGTACGGATGTGTGGAAAAAATCGATATATACCACTTCAAGACTCATATCTTGATTCTTTGTTGACCCTCAACTCAACAAAACCAATTTTCTCTTTTTTTTCATTATAGGTACATCGATGTCACTGTGATTTCATGAGTTTTGATGTTACAAAGAACCCAATTTTCGTAATAACCGTCTCAATTTTCAAATCTTACCATTTTCAGATCTTGAGTCAGCAGCTTTCGCAAGCAGATTACCTGCCGATCGTATGACGAAACAGGAAGCCATTAGTTTCTCTGAAATTTTCAACGTGAAGGATTCCCAAGCTCACTTTCTTTACATTAGAAACAGACTGGTAAGTTGCTAGTGTTGCTTTTATATTGTCTTTTCAGCTTTCGACGTTATTGGGTCGATCCATAATCCATAATCCATTCCGACAAGACCTTTCTTGATTCGTTCAATTGATACAATCAGAGGCTCATACACATTGAACGCCCGCCCCCTGGCCCTCCCACATTATCTGATACATATTCTGTTAGTTGTTTGTCTGGTTGGAAGACCCGAAGAACAAGCTCACTGTTGAAAACGCTCTGCCCAGAATAGAGCCTCCTCACAACGGTTTAAAATTAAACTATTATATTTGATTAATGACGACAATTATGGCAAAATATGTTATATATATTACTATTAAAAATCATTTGATTACTTCGGTTCAATAGCATTGACATACAATCACTGTTATTTGTACTGATGTGTCTTTTTCAGAGGATGAGGAGTTGGTAGAACGTGTTTATGAGTATCTGAACAGATACGGGTTTATAAACTTCGGAGTGTACGCCTCACCCAAACTCCCAGAACCCTCCTCGACCGCTCCTAAAGTTCTTGTTGTCGGTGCTGGTATATCAGGTAATACAGCGTATCAATTTTAGTTGATGACTGTGAGGGGGATGGAGCTATAAACTTTTTTCATCTCCTCGGATTAAGTAAAGCTATAATTACTGCACTGCACGTCAACTAATTACATTTATTTAGGTCTTACAGCTGCAAGACAACTCCAAGAATTCGGAATTAACGTGGATGTTATCGAAGCTCGATCCGTTGTTGGCGGCAGAGTTTGCACCTTTAAAGACGGAAACTACGTTGCAGATCTGGGTGCAATGGTGGTAACAGGCCTTGGAGGGAACCCACTGGCAGTGCTCGCCAAACAGCTGAACCTAGAATTGATGCCAATAAAACAAGATTGTCCGCTGTACGAATTTACAGGACAGATGGTTCCCAAAGAGCGTGATGAGCGGGTTGAGCGGGAGTTTAACAGGTTGTTAGAGGCTACAACCTACATGTCACACCAATTAAATGTGAACAGCATCAACGGTAGGCCGGTATCTCTTGGTCAAGCTCTGGAGATTATTATTAAGTTGCAGATAAGGCAGGTAAAGGAGAAGCAGCTGAAGCATGGGCGTGAGAGGTGCGAGATTCAGGAGAAGTTGAACCATATTCAGCAAGCATTGTTCCCTCTTCACGAGAAAATCAAAGACTCTCACTCCAAATACTTGGGTAAGCAGAACAGATCATGAATTTTATCTTATGAAAGGGTTTTAATGATCCACTTATTAATTTCAGTAGACCAAGTTCTGTTGGCTTTCATTACCAATCTGTAATCGAAATGAGCTCACTTTCAAAACTTTTTCCTCAGAATTAAAAATGAAGCATGAGGAACTCTCAGACCAACTTGGTGAAGTTATCCGGGACCAAAAGGCCGAGTTTGAAGTCAAAGCAGCCTACAAGGTCATGTTGGAAACATTCGCTGAATACGACGCTCTCTTGAAAGAACAACAAGAGCTTGAGGTTCAGTTGACAAAAATGGAGCAGATGGTCCCCAATGAGATTTACATGACCCCCCAAGAGAGACATGTTTTAGATTGGCATTGTGCCAACCTGGAGTTTGCAAATGCGGCCCCTCTCTCGGCACTATCTTTAAAACACTGGGACCAGGACGACGATTTTGAGTTTACTGGAAACCATCTCGTTGTTCATGACGGGTAAGGATTATTGTGTATTAATTTCTGGTAAAATCAGCAATATTTTTTATAAATAAAAAATTTAATTTCTAGAACCTAATAGAAGTATACTATTTTTACTATTTTAAGCGATCTCGTATGCCTAATAATGTTATAACGTTATTTTTCAGGATGTCAACAATAACAGAAGCAATGTCCAAGGGTCTAAACATTCGCCACAATACCGCGTGTGTCGGCATCAAATACACGGACAGTGGAGTTGAAGTAGCGACAAGAGAAGTGAACCAAGTTAACAGCAGCTGGGCAACCAACACCACAAATACCATCACTGCAGATGCTGTGCTGTTGACAATCCCTCTGGGGGTTCTTAAGAAGGAGAAACTGAAGTTCGATCCGCCTCTGCCTGAGTGGAAGACGTCTGCTATCAAGAGGATGGGATTCGGCAACCTCAACAAGGTATTTTAGTTCTATTTTTTCTTAACAATAACATTCTCATTTTTATTGTAAAATAAATAAAATATTGTATAATTAAATAACTTTATTAATTAACTTGATGGAAAAGAAAGAACTTCAACAATGTTAAACAATTACTGGCTTCTATTTTGGTTTTTCGAATTCATTCTGGGATATATCTGAAAAATGAAAATACGTTCTCAATATCTTTACTGTGAACATTGAACACACTCGTAAGACGCGGTCTTTGTACAATGTAATAGACTCATTGCTCATTACAATCCAGTATCTCCAAGCCACGATACAGCATAAGGACATAATATAAGGTGCAGCGGTAACCCGTGCTATGCTAATGTGAAAGAGGAGAGTCCGTTATCGTGACTATTCTTGGTCTTATGCACTTTGATACTCGATATCATCATTTTCATCCGTTGAGATATTAATTTCCTTTTTGTAGTCAGTTGTTCTCTTCAATGATTCAAGACCTCTTCTGCTGTCTTTTTCATCTTTAAAGTCCTTTAACTGATCTTGCAGCTTTTTGATGAGGGCATCATTCTCGACCTTTTCTTTCGAAAGTTTTTTGATTTGGAAATATTTTTTCACTGCATATACAACCAACCCTATACAAATCAATGTCATGAGAGATACAGCTAAGGAGGCATTCTTGTCCAAATTTTCGGTGTCTATCCTTTTGGTGTCGTTGACGGGACAGTTATTTTGAACAGTTATTTTGGGACAGGTATTTTGAACTACAAGAGACTTGCAAGATAAATATACATCTTTGCTGTGGATACAATCATGGGACGTGGTGTAAGAACACGACTTCCAGTTCCCCTCACTGCATATCACGTCGTCGAGAGCTACACGATATTCTGACTTCTCAAACGAAGTTCTCCAACTCTGTACTCCAGCATAACCCATCTCCCTACAAATAGCATCAGCGGAATTGTCACTAAAATAGTCACTGCAGACTGTACCACCATTATAAAGGAGTAGGAACTGTTGATGACCGGAGACTTGCGCTCCCGAGAAATTCACCAGAGCAAACGGGCTTCGATTTCCAGAACAATTGAGGAAAACATCTTTAGTGTGATCATTGCAAACTTGCAGCTTTATGGCGCTCCTTAACGAGCAAGATGACCAGTCATTTTCTAAACAAGTTAAAGTGTGAGAAAATATTTCATAATCCTCTTGAATTTTCCATATTTTACCGGAAACCCAAGATGACGCTCCCTCAAACCCCATAAGTTTACAAACAGCGTGTGCGGCAGTGATATTGAAGTTGATATCGCATAAGGTGCCGCGATTATAGAGCAAAAGACCATTTTGTTGACTTGTAATGTAGTGTCCTGAAGCATCCACTAATTGGAATTGATCTGAAATATATCATGGTTTTGGTCCTAAGTTAATGGTACATGCTCGGAAATTAATTTGATCTTATTAAAAAACATTGAACTTCTAAAAATGTTCTCCAACCATTAAAAATGTTCTCCAAAAATGTATAGCAGAAAATCAAAGACTCTCACTCCAAATACTTGGGTAAGCAGAACATATCATATTTGAATGACCTTTAAAAGGTCTTTATTAGTTGTGATAGACTTGTTAATGGTGGATTTTGATTCTTCCCCGGGGAAGCTTGCGTAAAATTCTAATTTCGTCGTCATTTTTCCGGGAAAAATCTTTGTAAGTTGAAAGTGAAAATGGCTATGAAAGAGCCATAATAATTTGATTATCAATTTATATAACAAAAAATGGTAATTTAAACGAATTCTTATCATATTGAGTTTTTTAATTACTGCTAAAACTCCCAATGCTTACTTTTTCTAATTCCAACGTCACGACAACGTTTGTCTTTAGTATTAGATGACCAGAGAATGTTTCTCTTTAAACCATCAGTACTGTACAACACGACCTCATTGTCGTCCTGTACCACTAATTCTATGTCTTCAAAATGGCCTTCCGTATCAGTACTCCATACTTGACCATAGGATGGATCGTACAGCACCAAGTTACCGGCATCCTGGAAAAATCGGGAAATGGTGATTCACATATTGCGTAATTATCATACTCACTCGCCCCCTCAGTAATCACTTTGAAACATAGTTTTGGTGTAGAAATAACGCCTAACCATTTTAAACCCCTCTTCCCCCTTTCTCTGAGTGATACCGTTGTAAATGAACGTAGTCACTAGTCGTATAGTTCACACTTCGCTTATTTTCAATATGAAGACATTTTCCAAACCTGCATTTCAAGTCCTCGGTCAATGCTTTTTCCCTCTGTGCCCGACGACCATAATGTTTCGTCATTCTCTGTACAGTAAAGTACTAGATTTCCATCTTGTTGCAACTCAAAATTAATCTTTCCATTCTTTGATGTAAGTTTGCGACCTTTCCTGAGTACCTCTGTCCTTCCTCTTTTTCGCACAATTCTATCGGATGTAATTGTAATATCTGAAACGGTAAGAATAGATGTATTTTCTCAGCCCGGGTTCATAATCAGTTTGTGGAATCTGGATCCTATGGCAATAGTTAAAAAACTTATAAAAAAGGCGCATCTCCCTTCCGTGACCCCGTTTTTTTCGCAAGTAAAATCCTTGGATTGATGCAGCGTTTCTTGGTATTAGTTAGCGCGATAATACAAACTGAGTGAAAGTGCAAAACACAGATTTTTAGATAGTAGATTTTATCAAGTTTTTGGTTAAAGTTTTTCTCATAAAACGATATTCCATAAAATAATTTTTTCTGTTAAAAAATATGCTAACTTGATGGCTCACCTGCTGCAGACATACCAATCAGCGTTACTAACAACAAAAACATGGCACTAATCGAACAACTGCGGCGATCGTGTCTGATTTTCATGATTATCATCTGCTATATGTACAGTTCTAGGGGTTTACATTAAAATATATTATATAATACAAATGCGATGGTAATCTCTCGATAACACCATCTCTAGTAAATTGTAGCGTTTTAATAACTTAATTGTTCTATGATTTATCGTTGTACTTCTAACTCAACTTAGGTACATTTTATGTATGTTCGTTATCTCAATAATTATCTCAATTAAGAAAATTTCAACTTTTGAAGTGAAGGCAAAACATGCATAATATCATGTACTAATGAAGAGCATAAATACTACTAAAATCGGCAAGCATTAACAACCTATTTACAACTAACTACTAAGACAACAGTAAGAGAACAGACCTGAACAGACCTGATTACATCTACACTCTACAGCGTTACACTAAAAACTCGATCAGAGCATATTATTACATACGGAGTGTTATGTTACAGAATTTAACTCAGTATGAAAGTACAAGTTGGTTACATGTGGCTGACAGTGACTTGTTCTCTATAATAATAATAAGATTAAGCTTATTTGCTGATTCGATGTCTGCAAAAAACCCTTGGCCTTGAGCACGTCTTATATTACATTTAAATTTTACTTACATGTTTAAGTTAAATATTAATGCAGGGTTTGCAACACTATGATCATTGATCTGCCTACGTGAAATCAGTAATAAATGTGACCGTATCAGCTATATACTCAACTAAACTAGATATTGGCAGATGAACAGGCTTGGTGATCATTTAATTTGATGACTTTGGAGATTTTATAAGTTGGTCGTTTTTCTTATCTATTGAACTTGCATTATGTTACAACTTATCTCCTTTTTATTTCAAATCTTGTTAAGTTCCTTTTTATTTCAAATCTTGTTAAGTTCCGCGGTAAAATAATTTGATAGAAACACAACTTTGTTTAAAACTGTTAAAACTGTTCAAGATCGTGACTAGGCGCCCGCATAATGAATTTCGTCCATTCAATTAATTTCACACTTCAATCCAATACTTTGATGTTCTGATCGTTGTCATCTGAGCAATCTGTAAGAACTGACTTGAGGTCTATCAAGTCTCTATTTTGCAGTTCCTTCAGCTGATCTTGAAGTTTCTTGACAAGGGCGTCTGTATTAGCACTTTTCTTTGATAAACGGTCAATTTGAGAGTTTTTCCTGAAAACAATGACAACCAGACCAATGCAGATTAAAGTCACAAAAGCTGTCGAGGTATTTTCTGTTGAGGTATTCTCGAATATCTCTACCGAAGATGTGTTGTTGTTATGATCAGGGATAAACATACAGGAGAGATATATAACTTGACCATGTTCGCAATCATGAGACGTTGTGTAAGAACATGCTTTCCAGTCCCCTTCAGTACAATTAACATCATCCAAAGCGATGTGGTAATCAACCTTCGGGTTACCCAAAGACCAGTTCGTATCTTCCATTCGCCACCTTTTTGCCCCATAGTAGCCCATATCCCTGCAAATAGCATCAGCAGAATTATCACTGAACTGATCACCACAGACTGTGCCTCCATTATAAAGGAGTAGGAACTGTTGAAGACCAGAAACTTGCGATCCAGCAGAGTTTACAAGAGTGAACGGGCTACGATTTCCCGAACAAGTCAAAATTACGTCTTTAGCGTGATCAGTACAAGCTTTTCCATTACTTCTGAACGTGCACGATGACCAATCTCTCAAAGAACAGACCAAACTGTGCGAAAATACTTTATACCTTTCCTGAGTTCTCCAAATTTGTCCAGACTTCCACGATAGTGCGTTTTTGAACCCCATGAGCTTGCATACAGCATGCGCGGCTGTGATATTGAAGCTACTATCGCACAAAGTACCGCCGTTGTACAGTAAGAGACCATTTTGTTGTCCAGTGATAAAGTTTCCCGAGGAGTCAACCAACTGAAACAGATTGGCTGAATCTGAAATATACGATTAAATAATCTTGCATCAATTAAAAGTATATGTATAATTGAAGTTTTCAGTGTTGGATTGCATTTTAGCACAAAAAACAAAAAGAAACCGCATCGCATCCAAAATAGGGGGGGGGGGGCCCCCCCCCCCCCCCCAAAATACCAATATTGAACTATATTATAGTCAAATACTGTAGTTAATTAACGACAAGAGAAAGGCCATTTTCGGACGTGAGGAGAGTGAGGACTCCTCAAACTACATGTATTAAATAAATTCCCTTTGTAACGTCCTCAATAATGTAATAGATGTGTAGAGTTGTAATTATTTTATGAGAATCTCCATGATATGAATTTTAATAAAGAAATTCAAACCTTGTGACGGTGCTTGGTCAAAGCACTTCCGCTCCGCTGTTCTAGCATATCCGTTATTACCACTAATTATACTATACCCTGATGCATAAACATTGCACCTTGCACTGTAACTATTTATTGTAACTGCCCCGCAACTGAAAGTGTTTTATCAGCGTAAGAGAGATCACTGCGAAGCGACTTTGATTCGAAAATCTACATATAGATTTATACTGGTATAGCGCGAGATCTGTTTTTAAATCATCAACTCACTTCGGATACTGTTTGCAAAGATCAATACATCCCTGCTCGTCGTTGACTCGTTGTTGTGCGATCAAATATCCCTGGATATCTAGATTGGCGACAAAACAACCCTTATTCCCTGAATTTAAATGCAATATGTTTTCATTGTGCATTTTGTAATACCGAGCTCTAATAGTTAGAACTCATGGGGATTTAAAAATAAAAATCTAAAACATCATAAAAAGATACCGCATCGCATCCAAAATACGAATATTATTGAACTTATATTATAGTCAAATACTGTAGTTAATTAGCGACAAGAGAAACGCTATTTTCGGACGTGAGGAGAGTGAGGACTCCTCAAACTACACACATTAAATAAATTCCCTCTGTAACGTCCTCAATAAATGTAATAGATTTGTAGTGTTGCAACTATTTTATAATAATCTCCATGATAAGAATTTTAATAAAGAAATTCAAACCTTGTGACGGTGCTTGGTCAAAGCACTTCCGCTCCGCTGTTCTAACATATCTGCTATTATCACCATATATGGACACGTTCATTGAAGTTTGAGGAAATTGGTAAATTTCTAAAACAGCGTTTTTGACGATAGTGGTTTAATTTTAACATATATTAATCTAGCGTGTTCATAAGTTCTGAACATTAGCCACGTGACCCATACTCCCATATGCACTGCTCAAAAATAAAATGTATTGCTTTTAGGCACTATTATGTAAAAAATGTCACATTTTTGTGACATTGTTTACCATAGCTGCCCAATTAGCATTTTTTGGTCTTAGATATAGTAGATTAGGTGAATCTAACAATTATGATACAATGTAGGCCTAAAGGGCAGTGATCGAACGGCTTTAAGGCAACATTTCGTAAACTTTGTCACACTCAGAATACGAGACCTCTTTTCTACTGTGAGGTGTCCATAAAACCCTTTCAACTCATTATTTGATAGTTCTTCTGCTAATCATAGCCCTAAAATATGTTGTTTTGAAAAGTTAACTTGAAATACATGCACTTGGCTATTGGGAAATGATGTAAATTCTGTCACATTATATGGAATTTGAAATTCTGGGTGAATTTCCGAAATCATTTATGTCTGATTTTGGTTTGGAAGGCGGGAAAACTCTATATAATGAGGACGATACACGGATACAGTTGATTGAAGTATAGCCCGGCAGTTGATGTAAACATCGTCACAAAATGATACAAAATCGTAAATGGACACGTTCATGTTGAAGTTTAAGGGTATTGGTAAACCAAAAAAAATAGCGTGTTCAGAAGTTCTGTACATTAGCCACGTGACCCATACTTCCATATACACGGCTCATGTCAGAAATACAATTTATTGTTTTTAGGCACTATAATGTAAAAAATGTCACATTTTTGTGACTGTGTTAACCATAGCTGCCCAATTAGCATTTTTTGGTTTAAAATATAGTAGATTAGGTCATTCTAACAATTATGATACAACATTTGGCTAAAGGGCAGGGATCGAACGGTTTTAAGGCAATATTCCGTAAACTTTGTCACACTCAGAATACGATACCTCTTTTCTACTGTGAGGTGTCCTCAAAACCCTTTCAACTCATTATTTGATGGTTTTTCTACTAATCATAGCCCTAAAATATGTTGTTTTGAAAAGTTAGCAAATACATGCACTTATTGGGAAATGATGTAAATTCTGTCACATTATATGGAATTTAAAATTTTGGGTGAATTGCCGAAATCATTAATATCTGATTTTGGTTTGGAAGGCGGGAAAACTGTATATAAGGACGATGCACGGATAGAGCTGATTCAAGTTAAGGGCAGTTGATGTAAAAATTGTCACAATAATAATAAGGGCAGTTGATATGAAAGAAAATCTATCTAACTAATGCAATGGCTGATGTGACGAAATTTACATTTCTTGACCTTATTTTGAAGAAACATGCCTCGATTAGAATTCAATATTCTTCCAGGAATTATTAGTAGGTTATTATTCAGCAAATCAGAACTCAAGTTTAACAATTCTGAGTTTAATTTTACTGAGTTACCGAAATGTGACGAAATTCACTTTTCCTGCCCCAACAGTATAATTTCAATGTGATGAAAAATGGGCATGGGTTTCTATATTTCCTTATCTCTGAATTAATCATTTCAAACTATAATTAGGACTGTTGATGTGAAAGAACGTGTATCTAAATTTTACAATGACGTATGTGACAAAATTTACATTTCTTGACCCTATTTTGAAGAACCATACCCCGATTAGAATTCAATATTCTTCCAGGAATTATTAGTAGGTTATTATTCAGCAGATCATCAGAACTCAAGTTTGACAATTCTGAGTTTAATTATACTAAGTTACCGAAATGTGACGAAATTTACTTTTCCTGCCCCAACAGTATAATTTCAATGTGATGAAAAATGGGCATGGGTTTCTATATTTCTTGTATAAATCCATTCCAACTATAATAAGGGCAGTTGATATGAAAGAAAATCTATCTAACTAATGCAATGGCTGATGTGACGAAATTTACATTTCTTGCCCCTATTTTGAAGAATCATACCTCAATTAGTATATAATGTTACTTTATTACCATCACTATGTCGATAAATTAGTTATTTTGCCAACACGGAGCAAATAAAGTTATAATATTTTTTGTGACGAAATTTACAAATTTTTACCCTGTTCAGGTGTTGAAATTTATCCAATGTTAACATATCACTGCCATATAATAATTTATATGACCGGCGTATGGTTGAAATATTGTTAATTGATCCATAGTACGTAATATAGGGTGTTTAAGTTGGTACACTAATATTTACTCAATTTCACACATGTTGAGATATCATACAAATTTATGTGACTAAATTTACCTATTTCTGCCTTCTGTATTTGTATTTGCGTATAACAATGAAATATGTGAACAATTCCAAACACATTCAGCTCACAAAATAATGCTAGACTATTCGGCATTTCTTGTCAGGATGTCATAAACATCCCTCATATAAATTTATTAAATGTGTGACGGAGTTTACATGGTGCTACCATTTAAGAAAAAAAGTCGCTAAATATGTAGATAATAGTCATATACAGCTATTCTATGAATTGAAAATTCGAAAATTTGGTCAAACACGGCAACAAGGGGTCCATATAAACTCCGTCACGTTTTTATAGTGTGACAAAGTTTACAACTCACTGCCGGCCGCATTTAAGCGATATCTTATCGTCTGATAAAGATATCGTTATGCGACAAAGTTTATCTAAAGGATGAAACGATTATCTTAGGGTTAGAGGGTTTATATAGTTTCATAGTGTGACACATTTTACATCATCGTGCCATTCAGTAGGGTCACTAATATTTACCAATATCCTCAAACTTCAATGAACGTGTCCATATACTATACCCTGATGCATAAACATAGCACACATTCTTTTTGCTATTGATTGTAACTGCCCCGCAACTGAAAGTGTTTTATCAGTGAAAGAGAGATCACTGCGAAGCGAATTTGATTCGAAAATCTAATATTTACATATATAGATTTATACTGTATATATATATATTTCGTTGCTGTACTCCTACACATTAAAAGTCGGTGTTGATTAGATCCTCGAAATAGTTCTTTGCATCATTTTATTAAACATCGTTATCTCAAATTATTTGTTATATAGTAGTGTTGAAAGTATTAAAATATATATATCATCAACTCACTTCGGATACTGTTTGCAAAGATTAACACATCCCTGCTCGTTGTTGACTCGTTGTTGTGCGATCACATCTCCCCGTATATTTAGATTGGCAACAAAACAATTCCCTGAATTTAAATGCAATATGTTTTCATTGTGCATTTTTGAAAAGCCTACCTCTCTAATAGATAGAACTAAGGGGATTTCTAAGAATTGGTAGAAAGAATGATTTTTTTTTTTTTTTTTTAGAGAGGCTGGGCCTGGATGGCTAGTAGTGGCAACTGGCACATCGTCTTCTAAAATTCTTCAAATTGTTCACCCACAGACCAGTTTTACGTGCTCTATGCGTAAAATATTCATAATTGGATTGTAGTTTTTTTCTCATAAATTCCTTTATTTTGACTTAGGACCACAATAAAACCACGATGTACCACCCTGTACACTAAATAATAGAATAGGGGTTACCACTAGCGGACTACCAGTAGTACCTTTTGAGTCTCTTGTTTCTGACTTGTAACTATAGTGTTCTGCGGCTCCTGAAGATGATACATGATGTTAGAACAGATAATTTATCTGATGTCAATATAAGATACGATAAATTCTCTATACCGGCCCTCTCTGGGGGAGCGGGCCTCTCGCAGAAAAGGTTCACATGATCTCAAACCCAATCAATTATATGCACGTATTGCGATGCAATACAGCTCGATAGTACTCAAATCACCACCAAATTAGCTTTATTTACATGTCATTCTTGTTCCATAATGCTGGAAAGAAACTAAACCCCCAGCATCCCCCTTACCGATTAGTCGAAATTTGTTCGTATTAGTTGGGTTTCAAGAATATTAAGCATATTACTGCTTTTTCAAACAAATCATACAGATTGAGTTTTTGAGGCCCTGGATATTTTAACTTACCTTCATCTTCAGGAGCTAATTCCCGTGAGTCATCCCATTGACATAACGCGATGTAGTGACCAGTGACTAAAATTACGAATATTTTTCTTAACAGAATCTCCTTCATTCTTCCTTTTAATAAAAGAGGCGGGTATAAATTTGAACGATGAAAGTGAACATGGTATCAACATCACGGTGATTCAATCGTTGAGATTTCAACCATCATTCAGTATTTTGATTTCTCTTGGAGAATTTCTCTTTAGACTCTTAACTTGCGAACAAATTGAAGCAGCAAACTTTAGGCTAGAAACTTTATTGAATTGAAATAATCATTGGCTTGGTTAGTTACCGACATTATCAGTCCTTTGTTGAGAGAAGTACCTACTCATATGTACGATATCTACAGCCACCTGGACATCCTCTGTAGGCTACCAGAGAGTGAACTTAAAGGTTTACAGTTCTTTACAGCGGATGTATCAGCTTTGTATACGAATTTGAATATCAATGAGTGTATTGAGACAGTTATTGAATTTGCAGAAGAACATTGGAGTAAGTTAAGTACGTATTGTTTAAGTTTATCAGAAATTAGAGGTATCTTTACAGTAGTTTTGACGAATTCTTATTTTACATTTAATGGGAGACTTTATAAACAACTTTTAGGTTTATTCATGGGTTGTAGACCATCCCCTCCTGTAGCGATTATTAGAATGTGGAAATTCGAGCGTAATAGTATATATTTAGACAGTTATTACATCAGTAACCCTGTTCGGTTCTTATACAAACGGTATGTAGATGATGCTGGTTCCTTAGCCAAATCCAGAGAAGAAGCACTGGATATGTTACAACGCATAGCCGACCAGGATCCCGATAACAGAATCAAGTGGGAGATCGAGTTCCCGTCTACCCCTGCGGATTTTGTCCCGTTCCTGAGTACGGAAATCCGGATCGATGAGGAAGGAAAAGTGCACCACAGATTCTACAGGAAAACCCAGAACAAGGGGATAACATTACACCAGAAGTCACACCACCCGGACTCAGTGAAGGAGGAGTGTAAGAAGAACTTCTACCGTAATGCCACCATTGCTTCCTCAGGACCCCAGGAACTCGATCATTCAGTTAAGATCATCGATGATCTCTTAAAGAAAAATGGACACCAACCTCTGAGTCATAACGCAAGGAACAGGAGGACTAGGAGAAGACGTCAAACCACACCTGACTCTGTCCCACTCACCTTACCATTCATCTCTGGAACAGTTTGTAATAAGATTCGCAACTACATCAAATCTAACAAACTCCCCATCAGAGTTATTTTTACACCTGGTAAGAAGTTACAGGACATCTTCTGCCGCTCTCGTCCACTGGATAAGAAGACTTGTGACCTTGGTAACCCTAACAATTGTGAGATCTGCCCTAGACTCACAGGAACAACATGCTCAACAAAAGGAGCTATTTACTTAGTTACTTGCGAGTTATGTGGTAAGAGATACTGTGGGGAAACTGAGAGAAGCCTCCATGCTCGTCTGATGGAGCACAGACAGGCTGCTAGGAATCCTAGAGCACATCCAGAGAATGGGGTTGGACAGCACTACGCATCTCTACATCCTAACCGAACCCCAGTTTTATCTTTTAAGTTACTTGATTTACAGAGTAAAACTGTTCGTAGAAAGATTGTAGAAGCGATGTATATATTGAGATTAAGTCCTGAAATGAATGATCGTTCTGAGTTGAGTTATTTGTACAAATATTTAGTCGATGTTTAACTAGTAAATAATGTATTGATAGGACTATCTTGGATAGTAACCATGACAACCGAGTTATCGTTGCTTAAGTGCTGATTTTATCATTAGTTTTTACACATGAACTGTGAATTCTGAACAACCAGTTTTACGTTTACTAATTAGTTTAGTATCATGAGTAGTACAGTATTTAGTTGTATTAGCTTACATTTCTTCTTGTCGTATTTTTTTTGTTGTTTTGACATTTTTTGCAATTACATTTTTTGGGTCATATTTCGTAAATTTTATTTCTCTGTTTTTGTTTTAATGTTATTTTAAATTTCTTTCCGTCGTTAATTTTTACACATGTTTAACAATTTTATTACAGAACTGAAGAAGACGTTGTTACGTGGAATGATTATTTCAATTCAATAAAGTTTCTAGCCTAAAGTTTGCTGCTTCAATTTGTTCGCAAGTTAAGAGTCTAAAGAGAAATTCTCCAAGAGAAATCAAGTTCAAATGCGACTCATAAATATAGCCCCCTTGAACTATTCAGTATTTTGTATGGAATAATAAAACGTTGCAAAGTTCAAGTCAATTCGCGTAACAACACGAAAATTGTGCACGTTAAAAGTGCTATAAATATAAATACTCATCTAAGCATTGGCTTAGTTTAATTATTAAACTAATATATAATTTATCTTCTGTGTTAATGCGATGTTTCTGAAATATGAGCCTGCAATTTTCGCTATAAAGGAAGTAGAATTCCAAGTCGGAGGGGCGCTAATTGTACGAGTTAGAATTTGTCCATGGAACTGGATAACAGATACTAGATCTACAATTAATCTGGAACGAGCAAATGCAGTATACAGTACAAACGGATAGTACAAAGAAGGAATTTGTTAAGAGTTATAGTTGCACTTTTATCGAGAGAAATCTGTCGTCAAATACAACTATACAATATATTATATAGTATGGCCTCACATGCTCAGTTAACATGAATTATTTAGAGATGTATAGCAGCGAACAGAACGTTCAACACAGACTGTGTTTTTATTCCGGCCCTCTCCCTCTAATCCTCGCAGAATGAATTTCAATCAGTGGAATAAATTGAAATCGGTCAATAGTAGGACTGGACCCTCATGATCCCTGAAGCAAAAACTCGATAAAATAGCTTTACCTCACCAAGAGCTACCTTCGAGTACTCATTCAATTAATTTCACACTTCAATCCAATACTTTGATGTTCTGATCGCTGTCATCTGAGCAATCTGTAATAACTGACTTGAGGTCTATCAAGTCTCTATTTTGCAGTTCCTTCAGCTGATCTTGAAGTTTCTTGACAAGGGCGTCTGTATTAGCACTTTTCTTTGATAAACGGTCAATTTGAGAGTTTTTCCTGAAAACAATGAAAATCAGACCAATGCAAATTAAAGTCACAAAAGCTGTCGAGGTATTTTCTGTTGAGGTATTCTCGCATGTCTCTATTGAAGATGTGTTGTTGTTATGATCAGGGATAAACATACAGGAGAGATATATAACTTGACCATGTTCGCAATCATGAGACGTTGTGTAAGAACATGCTTTCCAGTCCCCTTCAGTACAATTAACATCATCCAAAGCGATGTGGTAATCAACCTTCGGGTTACCCGAAGACCAGTTCGTCTCTTCCATTCGCCACCTTTTTGCCCCATAGTAGCCCATATCCCTGCAAATAGCATCAGCAGAATTATCACTGAACTGATCACCACAAACTGTGCCTCCATTATAAAGGAGTAGGAACTGTTGAAGACCAGAAACTTGTGATCCAGCAGAGTTTACAAGAGTGAACGGGCTACGATTTCCCGAACAAGTCAAAAATACGTCTTTAGCGTGATCAGTACAAGCTTTTCCATCATTTCTGAACGTGCACGATGACCAATCTCTCAAAGAACAGACCAAACTGTGCGAAAATACTTTATACCTTTCCTGAGTTCTCCAAATTTGTCCAGACTTCCACGATAGTGCGTTTTTGAACCCCATGAGCTTGCATACAGCATGCGCTGCTGTGATATTGAAGTTACTATCACACAAAGTACCGCTGTTGTACAGTAAGAGACCATTTTGTTGTCCAGTGATATAGTTTCCCGAGGAGTCAACCAACTGAAACAGATTGGCTGAATCTGAAATATACGATTAAATAATCTTGCATCAATTAAAAATATATTTATAATTGAAGTTTTCAGTGTTGGATTGCATTTTATCGTTTTTTTAAAACCGCATCACATCCAAAATACCAATATTGAACAAGTATATTATAGTCAAATACATAGTATATTATTATTAGCGACAAGAGAAACGCCATTTTCGGACGTGAGGAGAGTGATGACTCCTCAAACTACATTCAATTAATTCCTTCTGTAACGTCCTCAATAAATGTAATAGATTTGTAGAGTTGTAATTATTTTATGATAATCTCCATGATATGAATTTTAATAAATAAAATCAAACCTTGTGGCGGTGCTTGGTCAAAACACGTCCGCTCCGCTGCTCTAACATATCTGCTATTACGATATATACTATAGCCTGATGCATAAACATAGCACACTGCATTTTGACTATTCATTGTAACTGCCCCGCAACTGAAAGTGTTTTATCAGTGTAATAGAGATCACTGCGAAGCGACTTTGATTCGAAAATCTAATATTTACATATAGATTTATACTGTATAGCGCAAGATCTGTTTTTTAAATCATCAACTCACTTCGGATACTGTTTGCAAAGATCAATACATCCTAGCTCGCTGTTGACTCGTTGTTGTGCGATCAAATCTCCCCGGATATCTAGATTGGCGACAAAACAATTCCCTGAATTTAAATGCAATATGTTTTCATTATGCATTTTTGAAAAGCATACCTCTCTAACAGATAGAACTAATGGTGAATTCTAAGAATTGGTAGAAAGAATGATTAGTATGTAGTAGACTAGTAGTGGCAACTGGCACATCGTCTTCTAAAATTTTTCAAATTGTTCGCGTAAAATATTCATAACTTGGATTGTAGTTTTTTCTCATAAATTCCTTTATTTTGACTTAGGACTACAATAAAACCACGATGTACACTAAATAATAGAATAGGGGTTACCACTAGCGGACTACCAGTAGTACCTTTTGAGTCTCTCGTTTCTGACGCGTAATTATAGTGTACTGCATCTACTACATCGTCTTCTTCTGAAGATGATACATGATGTTAGAACATATGCTTTATCAGATGTCAATATTATAAGATAAGATAAAAAATCATACATATTGAGTTTTTGAGACCCTGGATATTTTAACTTACCATAGGCACTTACTCCTTCTGCATTTACTAACGCGATGTAGTGACCAGTGACTAAAATTACAAATATTTTTCTTAACAGAATCTCCTTCATTCTTCCTTTTAATAAAAGAGGCGGGTATAAATTTGAACGATGAAAGTGAACATGGTGTCAACATCGCGGTGATTCAATCGTCGAATAATAAAACGTTGCAAAGTTCAAGTCAATTCGTGTAATAAGACAAAAAGTATAATGGTAAACAGCAATAGCAGCAAATCTGGGGAAACTTGGTGGACATTGACTTTTTTCACACAATTTGAGTATGTTGACTTCAACATTATGTTGCAGCTCATTGTGGTTAATCTCAATGTTGGAGTGATGTTTTTCTGGTGCACAAAACACTGCAGTACGGTTATGTTGAATAATTGTGGTTAATGGGTCATCTATGTGGCCACTATGGTGGTTAAAATACCAGTTTTAGGGTTAACCACCATTTTGAGATGTGATATTATGAACTGAGTAGTCATTATATTGAGATCATATCATGGTGCAACTATCACAAAAGTTTTCAAACCTCATGGGGGTCATTTTGTGGTCCTAATGGTGGTTAAATTGAAGATGAACGGTGAGCTATAAATATTGCTCTGATTATAGATGTATAGTGGTGGTTGTTCATTTGTGCATGGATGATAATTTTTTATCACAAATGTGCAATTTAATAGTATGGTTGATTTGAGGTGGTTAATATTCGTAAAAAGTGCTAAAAAGATGGTTAAAATGTCAAAATTTGTTGTTAACCACCAATCAAAACATTATTAATGGTTTTAGTCAACATTTTATGGTCAACAAAGGACATTTGAAGGGTCTTGATAAAAGTTATCAAGAAATGTTGTCATAAAAGTGGTTAAAAGGGCTATATTACTTGCTAGGCTGTTGAACAAGGCATCTATTAAAGTTAAAACTAACCACAATATGAACTTCAGATAATGGTTTGCTATCCAAATGAGTGTATATTTGTTTGCAAATGCATCATTGACCCCAAGTTCATGCATTCCGATCAATGTGCAGCTAAGGTGGTTAAAATGTCTCGAAAATACCCTATATTTGCACTAATTAACCATTTTTAGAGCACATATTAGCTTTGTAAAGCTATAGCTGGCCATGCTACATTATCTAGATATAACTACCTGCTCATTTATATGACCAGAAACATTGCTGAGTCCTATGTTGCGTCCATCATGGTTAATAAAGGTCTAAAATTGACCAAAATCAGTGTTTTTGGTCGTTTTAACCGCCATACGGCCACACATTTTGTTGCATTATCTTTAAAATCACTTATTATCCTTCAGCTATCTCTCATAATCAATTATCAAAACAAAATAAGGCACCAAAAGTTCGGATGTTGCTGAAAATGGTTAATTTGTGATGGCTTCTGTTGACCGAAGGTCCAAAATCAACATGTTTTAACCACATTGAGGCCACATCTAAGGTTTTATGGTATGGGGACCATAGCCAAAAGTTTTGGGCACCTGGATGGTGTCTTCTGCTTTTGGAATTTTGGTGATAACTCAATGCTGTGCTATACCAGGTGGTTAAGTACGCGCGCGCGCGCGCACGCATACACATTTGGTGTTTTTTGATATACCACAGTTGGTGGTTAACTGTTTCACATCAGACCTTCACTAAAAGTATTGGGCACCATGGTGGTGACATAATATATAAAGAAATTAAGCATAAACTAAATATGTTGGCCTACAGATGGTTAAGTGCGCGCGCGCGCGCGCACGCATACACTATAACATAAACACATATATACCACTCCACTGACCACATTTATTAACTTTTTGAATTTCCTTCTTCAACTATGTGTCAATGAACCATTTTTGTTCAATAATGAGCATCAATTTTAACTGTACTACTCATATCTTCACTGTAGTAAGGGTTTGGGTGTTAGAGGTATGACAAAATGTCCACTAACAAATCAGTCATATTTCGACTACTTAACCACCTAACTCAGCACCAAAATGTTCTGAGATTTTTTTCGTTGCACTATCATGAAGCTATGACATTTTTGGACCTATGTCAATATTCAGATTACTAGAATTCATAATCTGTGATTTTTAAGGGGTGGTTAAATGCTTCAAAGTGGTGTATTTCAAAGTTTCCCCAGATTTGCTGCTATTGCTGTAAAAGTACAATGCATACAAATCTAAGCATTGGATTAAAACCAATAGAATTGATCTTCAGTCTTAATTTTATGTTTCTGAAATGTGAGCCTGTAATTTCCAACAAGGAAGTAGAATTCCAAGTTGGAGGGACGCCAAATATATGAGTTAAAATGTGGCCATGGAACTGGATAGCAGGTACCAAACCAACAATTAATCTGTAACGAGCAAATGCAGTATACACGGATAGTATAAAGAAGGAATTTATTAAGAGTATTAGTTGCACTTGTATCGAGAGAAATCTGTCGTCAATTACAACTATACTGTCGTCAATTACAACTATACATACATCAATAGGTAGGTACATAGTATAACCTCACATGAGAACATGTATTTAGAGATGTATAGCAGCGAACAGAACGGTCAACACAGAATGTTTTTTCATTCCGGCCCTCTCCCTCTAATCCTCCTATTCTCCAGGTGGTGTTGTGTTTCAACAAGGTATTCTGGGACCCGAGTATCCATCTCTTTGGTCACGTGTCTAACAGCACCATATCACGTGGCGAGCTGTTCCTCTTCTGGAGCGTCTCTAAAGCTCCGGTTCTAATAGCGCTAATAGCGGGGGAGGCTGCCACTGTCATTGAAACTGTTCCTGGTGAGACTTAGAGATAATTATATATTTTTAAAGATTATTTTTCAATATTCATTATGATCATCAAACTATTAAACCAATTTGTTTAAATTTTTGACGCAACAAATTTGGTTTGTTAGAATGTTAGAGGTAATATCGATAGTTATTTTTCATATTATGAACCTTAACACTACTTTTTACAAAATGAATATACAACAATAACAACCAAACTTTCTCCCCAGACGAAGCGATAGTCGGCAGAGCCATGACGATCCTCCGAGCCATATTCGGTTTCCAGACTGTTCCTCAGCCCAGCAAACACCGAGTGACGCGCTGGAGAGGGGACCCCTGGGCCCTAGGCTCCTACTCTTATGTTGCTGCTGGATCTTCTGGTAGTGATTACGACGATCTGGCAAGACCTGTAGCTCCTCAAAATGGTAAGGGAATGTTTATCTATCTAAGAATATTTGTGACAATTTTCCTTCTGTTACCTAATATTGTTTTTGAGAAAATAATTTATTTATATACCATTCATTTCATTAATATACTTTGAGAACATAATTAAGGTAATTTTTAATCAATCAGTCGAACTAGAAGATTTAGAGTAGCCACACATATAATAGGCTAATAATTAGTGCGTCAGATTTTAAAAAGCAGCGAAACAAATTAATTGATCTAGGATTCCTCAGACTGAGACTAATCCTGCAAACGTAACACAGTTTTATTTGAAATCATAGTTACTAAAAATAAGATTTAACCTAAATGATGAATAACCTCAAATATACACGGGAGCTCATTGATATCTGGAAACGGTAAGGAAAATATCATGCAGTATATTGTACAGCAAAATTAAAGTGACCGTTTGCGTCGCTCAGCCCAGTATCTTGCACCTCCTGATTGGAGACCCCTCACCTCATGGCCATATGAAATGTAAGGAACATAAAATGATAAAAGTAGATGATGTCATCAGCATGTTGATTTAGCGTATGTGTAAATTAAACAGTGGATTGTGTAAGTATGATCATGTATGTTTGAGCACGTTCTGAAATCTCTATCCTCGTCCTAAAATACTCACCTCCCAACACAATGTTTTCTATCCTCATCTGATCCTCCCAATGAAAGTTCTCCCTCCCCCCGTACTCTCTGAGTTCCATCTTGGTTACTAGGCTGGAGTTTAGAGTTGGTAGCCCAGTAACCATCTCTGTTGTTTCTCCGTGTTGCTCTATCTCCAGTATCAAGGTATCTTTAAAATTGATGGTCAGTAGCATTTCACCTTCACTGTAGTTAGCCATGTTGAAATGGGGCTCTATGAACTGAAAGATTTATATTCGATATTGATGATGATATCTCAAGGTTTGGCGGGTGCCAACATTGATATGATTCACCTGCATTCTGCGTCGGGTTTATTGAAATGTTGATCATTGATATTATTATTATTTGCTCTCCCAAGGCCTACTTACTTGCCACTGGTCACTGTATTTTGTGCTGAACACAATCACCCTGTTAGCCAGACCCACGTTCGCCATTTTATCTGCATCGAACCTGTAACAATGACAGTTTGTAAAAAGAAGTCTGAAAATAGCATTTCAAGGTAAAACACGCACTGTTGTCTGACCAATGGATGAGGAGTTATTTAAACATTGAGCATTGAAAATGATTTTTGATTCGGAGTCGCCACCACGCGTAGCCGTGATTGGACAATTTACCCCCAATTTACCGAACTTGCTCAAATGAAAAGTCGTACCGGAAGATAGTGATTTTCACTGTGATATTTTAATTTAACTAATATTATAATTTCGAAAGCGCCGCAAAGTTCTAGAATCCTACCTTAGAGCAATTCTGAAGACTGTGTCGCCAGCATCATTGAAGAAATCCACTCTAGCTACTCCGTGATACTCTCCTGTGAAGTGTCCTTGTATTTTCATCTTGCTTCCCATCGTTAAACGCCCCTTGTACACGTCGTAGGAATGTAGATCTTTTGCGAATATGACGGTTATTCCTGTAATAATTCACCATCATCATGATTCTTGTTATCAGAGGTTTGGTTTAGACTTTAGATGTCAGATTAATCTTAGTGTCAAAAATTCGGGGCTAGGACGTCAACCCAATATTTATACGGCAAAAACAAAACAGATCGTTCACTAAAAATTGATAAATTTTAGACCTCAAGTAAATCTAGATTAACTTACCGAGTTGGGCTATAACCAAGATAGCGGTTATAAGGCTGGAAGGAGCTCGATCAAACAACATGGTTGTACAGCGATAAACGCTACTTCAAAGCAGTTGTTAAATGTGCGAGTTTTGTTCATACCAAGTGAAATGTTCGGCAAAAATAAGAGAAAAGAACTATGATACAACTATGAACTAAGCTAATATAATACAGCGAATCCGCGAATCGTTAAGATAAGTAAGGAAAATGCCTTCATTTTATAACTTCGTTAAATGCACTGCTAAAATGTGGTGTAATTGATTTACTTTTTTGGCTTCTCCGTAATTAAGTGAAAATTGGCGTGAAACTGTTAGGTTGTGTCATGGCCATGTTTTCACCATTGAACACGAGAACGTCGAAAATAACTAGGGCTGAAACTCACAGGATTGGTTCTAGGAATGGCTGAAAATGTTTCGCCGCTTTTCATGAAAATTTTCGATTTGTTTGAACAATTTTAAAACTCGGTTAAAGGCAGGAAAGATTTCTCTTTCTAAGAAGCAAGAATCGTGCTAAATTGGATTTGCATTTCCTACTCCTCATTTCACAAATAAAATGTAAGTTCTTCATAGTTTTGGGAAGCAACCCAGAACAGTGGAAAGCCCTCAAAGAATGGTCCAGGTGCTAGAGTTAATAAGCCTAGTCCGCGCTAGCGAGTTACCGTTTAACAAGAAACCATTAAACAAGAATTATTACCCTCCGCGCGGTGCATTCATGCGGGATGTCTTAATTCAAATTGCTGTAATGCAATTGTTGCGTTTTGGGGCTTTGTAATACGATGACGGCATTGCTTTGAATTTGAATTTCTGATGATATTGATTTTCAGTGCTATGTAACCTGGCAGTAACGTTGTAAAGGACTTTGAGGGGGTCTGTAGTCCCCCCGCTTAGTATGTTTGTGTTTCACTGATTTGTAAACTGAAGACGTAAATATATTTTCTTGCACTTTGTGTAATATTACGAAAACATAATTCGCAATTTTTGTTGCAAACAAATAGTGCCTCTTCCTCAATAAAATGGCGGAACTCTGCAAAATGCCGTCCCAGACGAAAAAAACTGACTCTCAAGCATGTTTAACGAATTAAAGGCGTTTCTTATTTTACCACACCCTTACGGCATATTTCTGTAATAATAAATAGAATCGGACAAAGGAAATTGGGATCTTAAATCTATAAACTTGAATAACTCGACAGAACATGACGTTATATGTCGCGAATATAATGAACAGCTGTCTGTTTAATAGACTCTGCTGACAGTCTGACTTAATGTCGCCTAATATATTATACAGGTGCATAAAATAGCATCATGCTACATTTGTGTGAGTATGTTAGTGGTAAGAAAATAGAAATAAGTCTAAAGGGAAGCCGTATTAAAGGCAAAACATTTGTTATATTGGAAGCCTAGATAGTATCCCCGGAGGCTATAGCGACAGTTGTAAGGAATATTTGTACTGCTCAGGAACAACTGCTCTGATAAATGCACTTGCCGACGATATTAAGATATTATAATTATATGACGAACGCAAACAGCCCTCCCTTTACAATCAGAGACAGTAATATCTTGAACTATATTTGTCCTATACTCATATTTGTTACTTTAAGACCGCGTCACGGTACTGAGTCTAAAAGGATTTTGGTTAGAAGGGCCGACAATTTATTTTTATCTGAAACTTTTACTAGGTAAGATCCATTCTCTACCTCAAAAATCTCTGGAAATTCCCAAATAACCCCAAATATTTCAGCGTCAGGAGCACATCCCCGATTATTCTTCGCGGGAGAGCACACGATCAGAAACTATCCGGCCACAGTGCACGGTGCTCTATTATCCGGCCTAAGAGAAGCTGGCAGGATATCCGACCAGTTCCTCGGTCCACCATACTCTAAAGACACCACCGTCAACGTCACTACTCCAGCTCAATGAGAGGAAGTTGTAGTTCAGCTTGATTCTACTACGCGCTATCACGTGACTATAACGCCAATGTCAGCTTGCTGTTCATGATCCACAATGCTTTAACTCTTTGTAGACGCGGATGTGTCTTCAACAGAAGGAGACCTGTGCTTGCCGTCGTTAAAATGTGTTATTTAAGTACGATTGCTAAGATTATACTGTATATGTTATCGAGCAGTGAGTTTATTTGATATCCAGAACTGGTTTATAGATCAGCAGGTTATCTTATGATGATCCCTTCTTCAATTTTAAGCAGACGATGGTCACGTGTCTAGCAGCACCATATCACGTGTCTAACAGCACCATATCACGTGTCTAACAGCACCATATCACGTGTCTAACAGCACCATATCACGTGTCTAACAGCACCATATCACGTGTCTAACAGCACCATATCACGTGTCTAACAGCACCATATCACGTGTCTAACAGCACCATATCACGTGTCTAGCAGCACCATATCACGTGTCTAACAGCAACATATCACGTGTCTAACAGCAACATATCACGTGTCTAACAGCACCATATCACGTGTCTAACAGCACCATATCACGTGTCTAGCAGCACCATATCACGTGTCTAACAGCACCATATCACGTGTCTAACAGCACCATATCACGTGTCTAACAGCACCATATCACGTGTCTAACAGCACCATATCACGTGTCTAACAGCAACATATCACGTGTCTAACAGCAACATATCACGTGTCTAACAGCACCATATCACGTGTCTAACAGCACCATATCACGTGTCTAGCAGCACCATATCACGTGTCTAGCAGCACCATATCACGTGTCTAGCAGCACCATATCACGTGTCTAGCAGCACCATATCACGTGTCTAACAGCACCATATCACGTGTCTAACAGCACCATATCACGTGTCTAACAGCACCATATCACGTGTCTAACAGCACCATATCACGTGTCTAACAGCACCATATCACGTGTCTAGCAGCACCATATCACGTGTCTAGCAGCACCATATCACGTGTTGCAGGATTGCATGAGAATCATATTTAGACGAAAGTGGAAAGACTTTCAATCAAATATCCTTTTTATCTTGTTATTTGTTAACAGTCTTAAATCTTTTACAATGCAGGTATTTGTGTTATGTTATTTTATTGAGTTCCGTTATGTTGTGTGGTGATTACCAGTTACCACATGACACTAGATTTTGTGGTTCTCACTGGGCTATATGAGCAGTTTATAGTTGGACATGATAGGATTCTGAAACCAGTTCACGATATACCCATACATTTTTAATCGTTCAGCGACCCGCAATGTTTAATGCTATTAGATCTGGTGTTTTCTTTTCGAATCATATTATCATGTATGATGTATATCATGTATACATATTAACTATGTATCGAGGAAATAACCATATTTGAATCACATACACTGCTAAGTTTTTCAAGTCTGGACATGTTTTTAAATTATATTGTTTATGTATTGACTGTTACTTTAAAATTAAATTGTCAACACTTTACTTCTTTTGTCAAATTTGTCCTTTAAAAACGGGTTATTAGGTGCTGGTTTTTAATAAGAGTTGGGGCTTGCAAGAACTCTCTGGCATTGCACGTTAACACATTTCGTGGCACTAAAACAACATATGGTGCATTTTTCCTAATAATATGTTGTTACACTAAGGGAAACACACAATTCACAGTAGATCTTCGTTAACTACGCCATGGGAGCCTCTAAAACATTTGAAAAATTTAGCGGGGCAGCTCATAGGTGCGTTTCACCACTGCCTAGCAATGCCTTACAATGTTATCTTATCTGTGCAAAGATTCGTAGGAGCTAGGCTATCGGGTTCTGTATTAATGACTGGCCGTAAGACCAGGAACTTATGTCTCCGTAAGGCCATGACTTATCTTAAGATTATTATAGTTGATGCAGATGACACAGATGGATCGTACCCTGGCTAAACTATATTGTTGTCAAAATACGGAAAATGACACTGTATCCTGATTACTTCAACCTCATTGGTGACGGGTATATTACGTGGGGGTATGGTAAATAGCATTCCCGACCATAATATACTCACGGCTGGATTATTTCAACTTAAGACACAGTATTAGTAACGGAACATTTTTTAAAGAAGGGCCGGGCAAGTCTAAATTGCAAATTGTTCGTTACGTTACACTGAGGGAACGCGCGGCTCTAACTTCACATGTTTAACTTGGACTGCCGCTGTTTTTGTTCATATAATTGATTTAGCGTGCTACAAAAAGTACAATAAAACGTTTACATAATTGCATCTCACAAATTTGTCCCAGTATCCTTTAACATTTAACATCTGCCACTTGTCAGTTTCCCTCAATACAGTTTTGTTGTGTAAAAAGTAAATCTAGACATGGGTGTTGAGTACATTTCTTTGTTAAAGTTGAGACCAGACTGCAGACACGACGCTTAATTTGAACCTGAGATATTGGGGTTTCTTTGTTTATTAAATTGACATCACATCATCGTGTGGTACTTTTGACAATGTTGACAAAATAGGAGACTTTAACTTGTATAGAATTCTTTGAGGTATGATTCAAATTATCAACAGTCAAAGATACATAATTGTTCGCAACAACACTTTACAACTCCAAATGTTTGTCTGACATGAAATTATTGAAAAGTGATTAATAGTTAATCTTTAACTTGACAATCCACAAATTACGCATAGCATAGTCTAATAACTTCGTCTTATACGGTTAACTTGATACTATAATACGTACAGATATTGAATAAAACTTCTCATACTTTAATATACAAATTTAAAACTGTTAAATATTAATTGGTACCTGAGGTTTGCGTATCATCACCCGCATAATATTCTAATTTGGAATTCAAAGTCAAAAGTATGACTATATCCAAAAGGCTTTCTCTTTTCTAATATCTTTAAGGATAAGACAATGTTTAAAGATTAGACGATTCTAAATTTGATAAGGGTGATAAAATACGGGTAATGATATCGCGATAGTTCCATTCCTAGAAATATGAATATTTATGAGGTTTTACAATATGAGAGAGATAAACATATTATGAAACGAATTATTTAATCTGATTAATTATGATATTGTAATTTTATCTCGTGATAAGTTGAAAGGAAAGAATGATTGGCAAGGGCCTATTTCAATGTAGCCCCGTCAAATGACATGCACGTGTACTGGTCAGGATAACCCCACAAAGTTAAAAACAGGATTTATAATTAGTCCAAAATAAACTTTAAATTTAAAATCAACATTCTACTTCAACAGGAAGCAATAACTTCACCTACAAAACTGAAATGATAACACACCTCAGCAAGAGTCTTGCTAATCAGCAGAGTAACCCTGGGGGGGCTCTAAATTAATATTTCCTGACAAAGGAAGTTGTACGAAAACCTCCAAAACCCATAATTCCCTGTCCTTTATTTCTTATCCAGCGGTTTCTGAGCTACACTCCGACCGTTCCACTGTAATGTGTTTTGCAGTCCGTTAAACCAGTCCTGCATTGAGCCCTCTTTGTCTATACATGGTAATGGGTACTCTGAGGCGCTCATCTCAACTCTGGAGTGGGAGGAAGAGTTATTAGTTTCAGGGGGGGACATACACCAAAACCTTTTTTGCCGGGACCCTTGATTTGACTTCATATTATGAAAATAAATATAAAGACAATATGATTTGAAACAGTAGTTAGAATGATGTTGGCCTTTTAGATAGCTGACAATGACACTATATTCTATATTTAAATATTCTATATTTGTAATGAAATGAAATGAAATGAAATGAAATGAAATGAAATGAAATGAAATGAAATGAAATGAAATGAAATGAAATGAAATGAAATGAAATGAAATGAAATGAAATGAAATGAAATGAAATGAAATGAAATGAAATGAAATAAAGCATTTTTATCCCGCTTATATCAACAATCCAAATAAAAAATAAAGATTGCCGATGTCAAAGCGGCTGGCCTCGCGATATAATCCAAAAACTAGATACTCAATATATGAATATACTAGTAACAAATATAAAAACCAAAAGTACTTATTTGACATTTTTTTAAAATAAATTATCACACACGGTAAAAACTTATGGACGTATATCACTCATTATTATGTATCACTCTCTAACATCTTGTCCTCACTACAAATGTTACCACTTCTGATATAATAATGTTTTTTAGTGTCTTCTTTGGCTATCTGTTTCATTTCAGTCTCAATTTTTTGGCATTTACTAATATCTGATGAACGGTACTAGAATTACCTAGCGAAACTTTGACTGGTCTCGTCTTGTCGGCTGATTTCCTCCCAACCCAGATAGCTGCAAAACGTGGTTTTTCATCAATCTGCTGAAAAATCACGTCAACTTTATCGCACTGTTTCTCTTCATCAGTCTCCTTCAAACCAAAGATGAGCACATTCCTACTGCGATCCTCTTCCGATACAGCATTCTGTACAACCTTTTTCAAACTCTCTTCTGTAAGCACAGGTGCAGTTTTAGTCACAGCTTGACTGTATGACTTCATCTCAGCTTGGACAGTGTCTTGAACGGCGGTCTTGACGGTGGAGTGCACGGATTCCAACTGCTTCGATTTAGTTTCCAGAAGTTCAGCCTGCAGCTTGATAACAGTATTTTGCGATCGGATAAGATCGCTCTTCAACTCCTCCATATCTTTCTTTTCACAACTTACAACACTATAAATAAAGTTAAAAGCAAAGTACTTGGAGTTATCACAGCTACACCAACTATTTTACACTTTCTTTACCCACATCAGAGCTGGTCACCGCACACATCATTTGCCCACTATGGCTACATAACGGGGACCTAGGTTTGTTATCCAGATAACACCACTGTTTGAACAGTACAACACAGAGTCCGCACTAAAACATACATTGTATTCAGGTTACAGTAACCGTGGTGTAATTGGCGTGGTAGCGGTGACGGGGTAGTGTCAGGGTAGCTGTGTAGTGTACAATTAGCCTGTGTATGCAGACAATTGTCCACCTCGTTCTACTGAGTGCAGGTGGTTCCAGAACCTTCTCACTCTACACTGCAGGTTTCTACTGAGTGCAGGTGGTTCCAGAACCTTCTCACTCTACACTGCAGGTTTCTAACTCAGTGCAGCTGGTTCCAGAACCTTCTCACTCTACACTGCAGGTTTATACTGAGTGCAGGTGGTTCCAGAACCTTCTCACTCTACACTGCAGGTTTCTACTGAGTGCAGGTGGTTCCAGAACCTTCTCACTCTACACTGTAGGTTTCTACTGAGTGCAGGTGGTTCCAGAACCTTCTCACTCTACACTACAGGTTTCTACTGAGTGCAGGTGGTTCCAGAACCTTCTCACTCTACACTGCAGGTTTCTACTGAGTGCAGGTGGTTCCAGAACCTTCTCACTCTACACTGCAGGTTTCTACTGAGTGCAGGTGGTTCCAGAACCTTCTCACTCTACACTGCAGGTTTCTACTGAGTGCAGCTGGTTCCAGAACCTTCTCACTCTACACTGCAGGTTTATACTGAGTGCAGGTGGTTCCAGAACCTTCTCACTCTACACTGCAGGTTTCTACTGAGTGCAGGTGGTTCCAGAACCTTCTCACTCTACACTGCAGGTTTCTACTGAGTGCAGGTGGTTCCAGAACCTTCTCACTCTACACTGCAGGTTTCTACTGAGTGCAGGTGCTTCCAGAACCTTCTCACTCTACACTGCAGGTTTCTACTGAGTGCAGCTGGTTCCAGAACCTTCTCACTCTACACTGCAGGTTTATACTGAGTGCAGGTGGTTCCAGAACCTTCTCACTCTACACTGCAGGTTTCTACTGAGTGCAGGTGGTTCCAGAACCTTCTCACTCTACACTGCAGGTTTCTACTGAGTGCAGGTGGTTCCAGAACCTTCTCACTCTACACTACAGGTTTCTACTGAGTGCAGGTGGTTCCAGAACCTTCTCACTCTACACTGCAGGTTTCTACTGAGTGCAGGTGGTTCCAGAACCTTCTCACTCTACACTGCAGGTTTCTACTGAGTGCAGGTGGTTCCAGAACCTTCTCACTCTACACTACAGGTTTCTACTGAGTGCAGGTGGTTCCAGAACCTTCTCACTCTACACTGTAGGTTTCTACTGAGTGCAGGTGGTTCCAGAACCTTCTCACTCTACACTGCAGGTTTCTACTGAGTGCAGGTGGTTCCAGAACCTTCTCACTCTACACTGCAGGTTTCTACTGAGTGCAGGTGGTTCCAGAACCTTCTCACTCTACACTGCAGGTTTCTACTGAGTGCAGGTGGTTCCAGAACCTTCTCACTCTACACTGCAGGTTTCTACTGAGTGCAGCTGGTTCCAGAACCTTCTCACTCTACACTGCAGGTTTCTACTGAGTGCAGGTGGATCCAGAACCTTCTCACTCTACACTGCAGGTTTCTACTGAGTGCAGGTGGTTCCAGAACCTTCTCACTCTACACTGCAGGTTTCTACTGAGTGCAGCTGGTTCCAGAACCTTCTCACTCTACACTGCAGGTTTCTACTGAGTGCAGCTGGTTCCAGAACCTTCTCACTCTACACTGCAGGTTTCTACTGAGTGCAGGTGGATCCAGAACCTTCTCACTCTACACTGCAGGTTTCTACTGAGTGCAGGTGGTTCCAGAACCTTCTCACTCTACACTGCAGGTTTCTACTGAGTGCAGCTGGTTCCAGAACCTTCTCACTCTACACTGCAGGTTTCTACTGAGTGCAGGTGGATCCAGAACCTTCTCAATCTACACTGCAGGTTTCTACTGAGTGCAGGTGGTTCCAGAACCTTCTCACTCTACACTGCAGGTTTCTACTGAGTGCAGGTGGTTCCAGAACCTTCTCACTCTACACTGCAGGTTTCTACTGAGTGCAGGTGGTTCCAGAACCTTCTCACTCTACACTGCAGGTTTCTACTGAGTGCAGGTGGTTCCAGAACCTTCTCACTCTACACTGCAGGTTTCTACTGAGTGCAGGTGGTTCCAGAACCTTCTCACTCTACACTGAAGGTTTCTAACTCAGTGGATGTATCCGTGTTGTAGTTAAACAAGGGAGCCGGGAGGCTCTGTGTAGACCACACTTAAGAACAGCTACCCTCCTGTGTCAGCACAGTGGCTCTGTGGAATAGTCAATTCTCATAATTATCATCTTTGGCTTGTAGCTCGAAGTCCGATGAAAGGAACCCTTAGTTTTACAAATTGACCTTGACCATGGGTACCTTCTACAGAAAATGTTTGGTCAGTGAGAGAACTTATCCACCCTGTTTAAAAGTATAGGGATCATCATTTGTAAGTTATCGGGTCATCGCCGAGATATTACCATGAAGTTGCAGTGAAGCAGATGTCTACTTCAATCTCATGATGAGTTTCTCGTCTCATCTTTACTGGAAATTAATATGAAGCATATGTGTTTAATAAACATTACCGTTAATATTACGGGTCTTTAAATTCTATTTCAGCGTACCAGCAAAACAACAATTCTTCTTATAATATCTTAGTTCGGAGATGGAGGTTGGTTATGAAGTTGCGCAATGCGCATAAATCAGCCCTGGGTTGGACTAGACCCTTCAAGTTCAATCATGATATTGAGCTTGATGGAACTAATCTACGGGCCATAAACTCATAAACATAATACTCGACGATTAGAGCTTATCACTGGTCGAGGTGGCCGATTAATCGTCCATTTATGAAGAACAAAATTTACTTCACTACTTTTACTAATATGTGTTACTGAACGTCTTCATACAGGGATAGCAGCTTATTGAGTGTTATTGAGATGGCACTAATAATATAATCTAATAGCTGTTGTTCGTTATTCATTTGAAATCTTTTTTTCATTCACTTGACAAACATAATATTCAATAAGTACAACTTATTTAAAAAACTATTTTAAAAACGTGGTTGTAACTAGAAAGTTCTACATTATTCAGTTACTGAATAAGTAATATGTAAATTTGATAAGTAAATCTTAACTTACACATGATTTTTGGTGAAGTCTTGTCTGTGTCTGCCGTCGAAAGAGATAAGAGCATCTCCTCTCGCATCATTGTTGAGCTTGCACTGAAAATAAATCCTGTTAGATGAAACATCGAATCCTATGAAACTGTCGTAACAACTCCCATTCATTCCAATATTAATTTGTAACTCCGAGGATAATGAACGTGCAGCATAGTTTGAATATCAATCATATGGAAAGGCCATGTAAGGTGTAATAAATCACATAAATTTGCAAACATGTATTACGTGTTGTATATTACGATGTATGCGATGGTGGATTTATCAAAAGACAGTGACCAAAACTGCTCAAATATTTGTAAACTGTAGTCTAGGTAGATTTGTAACAAAGCAGGTTTGACAATGACAGGATGATGAAGATGCCAGGTGTAGGAGTCGGACAAAGAAATATTATAGTATTCGGTAAAGAGAGACATTGTCTTCTTATAATACTTGTGTGCTGACACCAAAGAATTTGATTTCAGCATCATTACAAGAGAGGAATACCGGCCCACTAAACCTGACCATTCTTAAACACATTTTCGTAATCTGAGCTGTTCTTACAACTCAACAAAATGGGATCCAGTCTCACCTTCAAGATGCAGTTAAGAGGTACCATGATTGGTCTAAAGGAGAGGGAGTGAGGACAGATGGGGGTAATAATAGAGCAAGGAACAGAGGGTGCCACAATGCTGGCTCCAGTTGCTGCTGCGTACGCGGTGCTGCCGGTCGGGGTGGCTACAATAACACCTGTCAGGAAAGGGGTCGTTAGTGGGGTGTGGCTTCAAAGTGTGGATAAGTTTATAATGTTATATTAATCGTAAGTTTAATCAGTTCGATACAATAGGTTACGAAAAATATCACATTCCATACAAATATTTTTAAAACTACGTTTAATGTGACTTTTAAAGCTCGAATTTCAGAAGTTTTCTGCTCAGAAGTATGGAGGAACTGGCGTGATTTATTCTCTGATAAAGATGTTGTGACTGATGTGATTTGAATGTCATACATTTAAGTTCTGCTTTTTAAGGGGAAGATATAAGATTTGGATGTCATACATTAAAGTTCTGCTTTTTAAGGGGGAGATATAAGATACGCATTTACCGTTATTGAGACCACTGATGATTGATGGATGAAGGTAACATTACACCACTTTTATGACGCAAGGTTCGAGAATAAATGACTTTAGCACCAAACTACATTCTATATCCCTACATGTATACTGAAAACTGATGTATAGCAGTAAATACAGAAAGCTAGGAGGAGCATGCATTTCCCGTAAATTATCTTTGGCCTAGGCCTAATGAGGCACTGGGCCATAGTTATTAGTTAATTGCCTATGAAAGAGTGTGGGAGCAATTCTATGCTACAACCTTTTACCTCAGTTAACCTGTTCAATTTTTGGTATAGTATTAATAGATTATAGATTGATTCCATTGCTAACGTGTATAACAGAAACTTTTGCCAGTTGTAAAACCATCTTGTTGTACAAACTAAATCGTGCTTGTTAAAATGACTATTTAAACAAACCAATTTAGTTTACCATCAATGTGACCGATGCACTTCACCCGTTTGAAACGTAACTTAAGACTAAGTAATTGACCGTTTATCTTTGATGTGACACTTGGCATGGCAATGGAAAATGTTAAAGCCAATTGAGAAAACTAAGGACCACTGTCAGACCACATGCGGTTATAAGAAACCAATCAGAAATGTGGCACAAAGTTGGCAGTTTCATCACCTTACCGGCTGGTGTAATTTCTCAGGGAACGTTAGGTGTTTGAACTTTGAAGGTCTTATTTTATCCCCTTTCATCTCATCTTACCACGTGAAAATTTACAAAAGCGTCATTCGAATTTCGAACATAAACGATAGTAGCAATATTGTGGGAAGTTTCACGATATATATCTATAGAGTATAGACTCATTTTAATAACGCTTTAGAATTAAAGATGTATTTTATATTATGGGACTCAATAATTTTAATTTTGAGCAAGTTCAAATTTGCAAAATTTGCCACACCACGATAAACAGTATTAAGTGAAATAACTATTAAAAGTGCGTCCCCTGCCAGACAAAACGCTAAATCTTCGTACTGGCAAGTTCAAGCTATCAGAAACACATGGTTTGTATCTGCGATTTAAAGCAAATCTTCTAGTATATAATCATCTAACATAAACATAATGAAAACCAACCATCGCCGATGACTGTGGTTACGAAGAAGTCGTCGCAGTAAATGTCGATCATGCAAACTCCGGAGTAGATTCCTCGGTGTATCACCACCTCGTTCAATACCTGGTGACAAGGGTGTACTTTTAGTAAATACTTCCTACACTAGTAATCCTCGGTGTATCACCACCTCGTTCAATACCTGGTCACAAGGGTGTACTTTTAGTAAATACTTCCTACACTAGTAATCCTCGGTGTATCACCACCTCGTTCAATACCTGGTCACAAGGGTGTACTTTTAGTAAATACTTCCTACACTAGTAATCCTCGGTGTATGACCACCTCGTTCAGTACCTGGTGACAAGGGTGTACTTTTAGTAAATACTTCCTACACTAGTAATCCTCGGTGTATCACCACCTCGTTCAATACCTGGTCACAAGGGTGTACTTTTAGTAAATACTTCCTACACTAGTAATCCTCGGTGTATCACCACCTCGTTCAATACCTGGTGACAAGGGTGTACTTTTAGTAAATACTTCCTACACTAGTAATCCTCGGTGTATCACCACCTCGTTCAATACCTGGTCACAAGGGTGTACTTTTAGTAAATACTTCCTACACTAGTAATCCTCGGTGTATCACCACCTCGTTCAATACCTGGTCACAAGGGTGTACTTTTAGTAAATACTTCCTACACTAGTAATCCTCGGTGTATCACCATTCACCACGTCGTTCAATACCTGGTCACAAGGGTGTACTTTTAGTAAATACTTCTACACTAGTAATCTCCTCGGTGTATCACCACCTCGTTCAATACCTGGTCACAAGGGTGTACTTTTAGTAAATACTTCCTACACTAGTAATCCTCGGTGTATCACCACCTCGTTCAATACCTGGTCACAAGGGTGTACTTTTAGTAAATACTTCCTACACTAGTAATCCTCGGTGTATCACCACCTCGTTCAATACCTGGTCACAAGGGTGTACTTTTAGTAAATACTTCCTACACTAGTAATCCTCGGTGTATCACCACCTCGTTCAATACCTGGTCACAAGGGTGTACTTTTAGTAAATACTTCCTACACTAGTAATCCTCGGTGTATCACCACCTCGTTCAATACCTGGTCACAAGGGTGTACTTTTAGTAAATACCTAGTCACAAGGGTATACTTTTAGTAAATACTTCCTACACCAGTTGTTGAATAGAGTTGGAGGTTGAGATCTCCAATGGAAATTTAAATTAAACTCATAAGGCTTCACGAGGTTGTCATCTTCAATGATTTTAACCGCAAATTTTATTGATAACACTGCAGTTTTGTGTCTTTTTAAGGTATCCACGCATACAACCATGCAACTTGTGCGTCACATTTCTTATTGTACGGTTTTATGGATAATTCTATAATTTTCCATGCGATCAATGTTTCTAAGCAAATACAATACCTTATCGGACCTTATTTGACTGGACATTAAATGAACGGACATAATTATGAACGGACATTAAAATGAACGCTCGAAGGCATTTAAAACCATCAAAAATCCTGATTTTTAATTTTTTTTGCGTTTTAAACATTTTAGCAGATAATTTGTAAATTAATTTTTCATACAATGAGCAAGAAAGGCAGTCGTTAAGCAGTAAAAAATGTCAAAATATCTGTAGATCAGTGTCTATGATTATGAAAGTTGTGTAAAAACAACAGATACGAAATATGACCAGATTTGATGATCATATCACAGGTCATCTTTCTCAAATGGGTTATCGTGCATTAAATATTCCATGCTTAAAGCATCATATCAGTAATACCTGCTTTTTGAAAACAATTATTTATTTGACCACCTCGGTCCTGCATTTCAGTGTAAACTTTTACAAGATGTGGAGATAAATAATAACTCCGAAGAAGTGAACGAAGAAGCCAAAGATCAAGAAAGTGATCATGCCATAGTGTGATACTTAGAATATTTAAATTGTATAATAACTCGTTTTTCATTGATCCAATGATATAGTTTAGTCCGAATCCGATGATAGAAATTACAATTGACTGAAATTAAAAAGTTATCAGATCCTAAACATGAGTTCGCAGTGGAATAATTTTGGAAAAATCTGGACGGACTTTAACTTGGACGGACTTTAACTTGGACGGACTTTATTTGAACGGACATTAAGATGAACGCTAGGACCGCCAGCGTTCAATTAATGTCCGTTCAAATAAGGTCCGATAAGGTAACTTAATGCTTTTAAATACACTGTTAACTACAGCCAAATTACAGAAAAATCTAGACTAAAACCAAATCTAAGTTTGTCTGTACCTGAATTGACTCGGGAACTATGATGTGATCCTCGTTGTCTTCATCTGATTCCCCAGTTCCCTTGTTCCAGAGAGTAGATTCCAGTCTGTTCCTCAATGTGAATCCCAACGTTCCTGTAAATTAATTAAGTATTAAAGAAATGTATGAGTTTTAAATATAACTCCGAATAGATCAATGTTAAGTGAATGTAACCTTTTCATAACGTAACCTTTATCTCCATTCTCCATAATGTTTACAATTGGAATTGTCCCAGGACCATTCGATTTGTCTCGACGATTTCATTGTCTCAGCGGTTATGTAACCAGCGTTGTCTGTTTGAAAGCTGCTAATATTTAAATGCACTAGCCACTAGTTATTTAATAAAGCAGGCTCTCATGGTTATCTGTCAGATCCGGGCGGCTGTACCTCTTGTACCTCTTGTACCTCTTGTACCTCTTGTGTTATCATCATCACAATGACGATGTTTATCTATTTATAAATTAATGGATGGTATTTATAATTTTGTTGCAAATTTTGCACTTATGTTATCTCTAATCTCCTCAAATACATTATATGGATAATGGATATTTCTCTTACGATAGTCGTGCTTTAAATATTTTATCTCGACATCATAACAGCAAGAGTAAACAGTTAAAGTATCGTCATATTTTTCACTGCACGGAAATTACTACAGAGACTACAAACAATGCAAATATTTATTATGTTTACATTATGAGATAGGGCTGGTGTTACAATAACAGTGTTACATACAGTCAATAGTCAATCGAGTTGCAAACAATACACAAACAGGCGTACTAGCATTATTAAAATTCAAAACCGGGCGACAAAATAAATCAACTGAGCAAAAGTCACAAATATTCGAGTTTTGAACATTTGGTTTTGAGAAATTGACTGTTAATGACTTCATTAAATCAATCTCAGGCTCGAAAAGTCAAAAGGTACATACAATAAAAAAAGTGAATAATGTCCATTCAGTGAAAATAGATACGTAACTTTTTGTTGTTGTTTCAGTTTCCCCGATACCCCTGTTTCACCATCGCACATACAGGGTGTGTAGAATGTAAAAATCGATAATTTTTTATGAAGGAGCAAATTTTACATGGTTTATAACAGTACTATTCCTTCTTACTCCATCGTAATACATAGATCCAAAAGGTATAAATAACCTCGGCTGCGCACACAATTTCCATCATTATCACAGTCACCACGCACACAATTCTCAATTACCAGCCGCATCAAGATCACGATTGAATAATCTAATAATTATGTAATTATGTAACACGCTTTTTTTTATTACTCTGATTCATCTGCACCAGACTCTGTTTGAGCGTATGTGATCGATTAAACGAGATTTATTATGACACCGCATAACCATTAACCATGGCTATTTTATCTCAGCTGTTCTAAAAAATACTCCTCCATGGCTTACAAAACCAGTTCTCACAAAAACTACCTTTTGGTTGCGACTTCATTGACGTCGGAGTGATTTTGTAATTGTATAATGAGTCGCACTTATGTAATGAGTTCCACATTTTAATTGGATTGTTCAATGATCATGTTCGCACTTTACCATAGTGTAAGCCATAAAGGAGTATCTCTGAGAGTAGCTGAGGTAAATAGCCCTGGTTATTGAATATTGATCATACGCTTGAACTGAGGCTGGTGCAGACGAATCACAGTAATAAAAGCGTGTCACATAATTATTAGATTATTTGATCGTGATTTGAAATGGTTTTGAATGCCTTCGAGCGACGAGCGTTTATCTTAATGCCCGTTCAAAATTATGCCCGTTCACGCAATATCCGGTCAAATAACATCCGATAAGGTAACTCACAAGGTCTCTTAAAGACTGTCTTATACTGAGTTTCCTGACTATTCAAGATGTATAAACCTAGAATTATCCTCATGTCGACGACAAGGCTGCTACAATTGCTAGTATGACCAATAAACAAATAATTTAATTAACCAACATTTTACTAACCTTTGAGAACTTTATTAAGAATGGTTGGGAACTCCTTGAAGTCGAAGGGGGTGAGAAATCCCAGGGATCCCAGACTGAAGGCGATGATGGGGGGAACGCTGCGCTGCAATGCTGCATTATATTATCTCGTCAACAAACCTAGTCAGACTAAAGTAATTATAGCATTGTCAAGTTGAGTTTACTGAAGGAGGAATTTGTGGGTGGAGGGAAATAATGTTAAATACAAACTTGAAAGAGTGAAGAGGCGTAGAGTAACGTTCCGTCACCACCCAAGCAAGCTATGAAGTCTATTTTGTCGTTCAACATATCTTTACCTGATATTAATTGTGTCATTTCACAGATAAATTACATTTTACATTACAAGTTAAAATTTAAAGTTTTATAAAACTTTAAAAACAATGTATCTAACTCTCATACCAATTTTCCAAACTTTAATCTTCTCGATAAGTCCTACAAATTCTGTATCCAAGTTTTTTGTACTAATCGACTGGAAGTTATCGTAGCTGGAAGATCTGGGAAGGTCACCAGCTTTTATCGTCTGTAACTCTTCAAAATCCTTCTCTTCAACATAAACATCCAGTCCTCTAACCTGAGTTAGAGGATGTATATAGAAATCATAAATACTGCCGCTACATCATTCTAAAATCCTGATAATTAAAATCCTGACGAATAGAGAAATGTGTGCTCTAGTACTGACCGTTATGAGCCAGATGCACATCATCTTGAACTTTTTGAGTACAGCAGAATCATGATATTTCTTTATTACCAGACAGTTAGAAGGCGGTCTGGTCCAAGAGAGATGTAGTTGCTTGTAGAGAGGTCTGAAACAGAGTGATAAATTAATCATAGGAACAGTCGAACCATGTTCGTGCATCAGCTATTATATATAGCTCAATTAAAAGAAATTGCAGAGAATTTTAGACAAATGCAATCTCTGAATACGAACCATTCATTCAAAACATGAGACTATTAATGACCAGCAGAAAAGGCAATTTTGTAAATAGTAAATACATACACAGAAAAAAGCTAATTTATCTCGTGGTTCTATAACCTGACAAAGAACGTGGTGGCATTTATACCACTAACCACGGACCCAACTCTTTCACTCCCCCCAAAGATACCTATATTATCAGTGACCATGTTGTTAATTAATATTACTGAGTTATATTATTATATCGTGTATTGCCGGGAAGGCTGTTAATTTAGGATAGAGTTTTTGTGGCACTTATCTTTTTGTTCTTTTGTAGTTTTTCTCACACAGCTGAGTAAAAGTTTTTCAACTTAAAAGCAGTGTTTATAATTCAATTTATTATTATTATTATTATACAGTAAACCTAACTTCTTATAAAATAGAAATCATCACGTTTAGGAAACACCTGACTAACGCGTAATGCGAGGTATTAATTAGTTATGTCTATTGTCCACCCTATTGAAGAAGTCTTACAAGATAGGAACATAAAGCCATTTTGTGTTTAACGTCGTCTATGGAATGACAAAACTTCAAGATCAGCTCATCTATTATATCTTCATAACATGGATCAAACAAAGCCAATTCTTTAGATAAAGAAAAGAGATAAACGACTTATTGTTAGATAAAGAAGAAGAGACCTCTTGATGCAAAAACTCCCTTCACAAAACGATCAATACGCCTATAACCAGAATGCCTGGACAACAGAGGTTATGAACCGCGACAATACTCATCTTGTTTAACTTTTTGTTTATTGTCCTGGTTTATATAGGAGCTATTTAACCACCTGTTAAAAAGGCTGACAAGCCCACACAACAAAAGGGACAAGAACTTAAACGGTTAAACCTTTAAGAAAGGCGGTGGTCAGACAATGGGCAGAGGGTATGAATGGAAACTAAAGAATGGATCACTGAAAACTATTTGATATCGCCATGGTACCATTGTTACTTCCCAGCTGGGCGGGATACTCCTATGGGATACTCATATGGATATCCTTATATCTTAGAAAAATAGAGCACTACATGATCTTAAAATGGTTGTCTAATTCCTACAACCCTGAGTTATGAACATTAATGTCAGCTCCTAATATTATGATCATTGTAAATTTACAAAAATAAAGAATGTTTCAGTTTGACAAGAACACAGTTTTCACTGGAATGTATATAATATAAGTACTTGAGTACGGCTTAGTACTTAATTCGCTGTACTTGCAAACTAACAAGTCAACGTAAGGTAACCTGAAGACAGGTGAAAGTGGGTACACGAGCACATCTGAAGACACAAGACGCCCCATGATTACAACAAACATGGACACATACTGGCAAAAGAACAAGTCAAACGACGAACTTACAATAAAATTTCTCTCCTGCTTAACGTGTTTAACAAACGTGATTTCATTAAAAATGCGGTAAATTCCGATCAACGATTGAGTCCAACAGTTTCGAAACTCCTGAAGACCTATGTTATTCGAAGTTATGTCAGTTCTCATATGAAATTAGTGAAGCTCTGGGCGGCTAGGTATTTTATCTTGAAGATTCTCTAAATTCCGGGCCCTGTTAAACTCCTTCACATCACAATACTTAAACAACATACCACTTCACGTACGTAACTACGTACTAACTACTATTATCTATTAATACTAATATTACTAGTATTATTAATTACTCTACTAGGATTCCTGTACTAAACCTTTTGTCGTACTGATAAGGAGGTGCTCTGCTGCAGCAGTGATGAAAACCATTTCTTGTCTCCTGGGATGACTCAGTGACGACGTTCATCAGAGGATCGTCTATTGAAGAGATCTTTTCGTGAGACAAGTTGAGACACGAACTGCGTTGAGACATGTCGAGACCAGAAGAAGTATGAGGCCCTGTCATTCTATAACACTTTCAACCAACTAATACAGGACAGCGTGTCTTTTTGAGTTACATTTAACGTGGCAAACGATAAAAATAAACACATGAAAAGATCAACAATAATATGTCAGGTCGTGACAACAAATATCGATTAAGGCAATGAGATGACATTAGGGATAATTACAATGGTTTAGCTCATAGCTGCTGCTTAACAAGCTCACACGATCACACCACGTCCAAGAATAACACAACACCTGATAGTACATGGTAAACCGTGCATGTGCAGTTTATAAAACGCAATAGTGGGAACTGAGCAAGCTGTTAAATAGTGCATGTCTCCAATTAGGCTAATTACAGCGTCATCAGTTGTTCCCTTATCAGAAGTAAAATTCTAAAGAAATAGCACTTCAGGTGACTAGGAGGCGGAGGAGAAATGTGGGTATTTATAGGGTAGTATGTGTAGTATGTGGACTTGACGGTAGCACCCTGACAACTCGTATCACTATTTATCTGAACTAATTTTAGGAATTTGTAAATCATGGACAAGGGAGCAGGTGTGCAACTATTTTTCATATAATATATCGTACGATTTGTTGTTGGTACACGACAAGATCATTTTAATATCCGTAATTACTTGCAGTTTGCACAATGCTACACTTGGGGAAACTATCCTGGCTTTAAACTATCAATGGCTGGTCATTCCTGATCATTATTCTAGACGGCGTCGGCTGTCGTGTAATTAAAACCTTTGGAGTACCAAACAAAAAACTAATTTTACTGGGAGAGGAGTAGTTGCCAAATACAAATGGGTAATGCGTAGTGACTAGTGCTGTCTTATCACCAAAATATCCTGAATGATATCATATGGTATGAATTATATCATATGTCTCCGAAGATGTATAAAAATATCGGTAAATGAATTCTGAATATAATGGATATTGGATACTCAAAATAATACACCTTTGGATGGCAGCATTTCTAAAAATTTAAATTTTAAATTGCTCTTCTTCAGTATCATTAAAGTGACACCAAACCATTTTTCGATCACTAAGAATTAATCGAATTTAGAATCTTATTACAAAGAAAGCGGTTATTTAAAAGCTTAATGAGGAAAATTACAAGGACACTGGGAAAACTCTCAGGAGTAAAGCAAAAATACACATTACACATGGCATTTTTTACAGTCTGGGTTTCGACATCACTTCATGATGTACGGTTCAAATGGATGAAACACCAACTCATCGGGACGAAGAGCAGTTACCCTGTCGGCAGATGGAATGTGCGGGTACTTGAAGAGGCCACTTCTAGAAATACCCTTGAACGGCACATTAAACATTTTGTTACGGAGTTTTACAACAACGAACCAAATACGAAATTGACCACACCCTCCTCATTTAAAGATTAGAATTGGACTGGAAAATCAAAGATTATTAAAGTTCGGAGTACTTACACTTTAGTGTCCCCTAACATCATACTGTTCCTTCCAAAAAACGTTGACTCCTGTTTCTTCAGCTGTCTCTTGCCAGGGGGAAGCTTCTTGGCAGCCCCCAACAACTCTCCTTTACTGCCATTTTCTGGGGGATCTTTTGGATTTTCTCTTTGTTCTGCTGATTCTTCTTTTTCTGTCATCCTGACGTTTTGATATGTTGAGGCAAGTTATACATTAAATTAACTTAAATGATTTAAAATTGGAACATATCATTTACTTATGATAATATGTTGTATTTCGTCGTCAGAGGTACACAATAAAACTGTGTTGACCACTTTTACAAATGTACTTAAAAATAGCTAATGTAAAATTTCACAGAGAACTTGAATGTAAAATAAAGAGTAACAACAGAGTTCAGACTCAGTAATACGAATTATTTTGTTCTAACAAAATTAAAATACATCGTAATTATATTATAATAATATTATAGTCACATTAAAATTCTATTAGTCAAAATTCTATTTAAAAGTTATGAAACGATTTGTAAATGATAATATCGTCATGACATGACGTCATTAAATACCTTAAACTACGTTATGACTATAAAACTAGTGATAAATGCACTACAAAATGATGGTTAACCATGCTCATATCAATTACGAAATACTCTTTAAACATTCTAAAAATCTACAACAAAAACATGCAAGGATCAGTGTTCAGTGACACCGACATATAAATGTTATAACCAGTGAACTATTTCCTGTTTTCTTTAATGAAGTTTATAAGTCCATTAGTAGAAGAATCTTCGGAATGGACCTTTTTATCATCTTTTAACAACGGTTGGATCTTCAAAGCTAGAATCTTGCCTAGTTCAACTCCCATTTGATCATAACTGTTGATGTTCCACATGACTCCCTGGACAAAGATCTTATGCTCGTACATGGCGATGAGAGCTCCAAGCATGGCAGGGGTAAGTTTGGTAAACAGGATACTGTTGGTGGGTCTGTCTCCTGTAAACTCCTTGTGGACACTCAGCCTATCCTGATCTTCAGCAGACATGGAACTCAGCTCCTTCCTGGCTTCTTCGTTGCCTCTTCCAGTCATCAGGGCTGCTGTCTGAGCAAGGAAGTTAGATGAGAGAATCTCATGGTGGTCTCCGATAGGGTTCATGGACTGCACAGGCATGATGAAATCACAGGGTATAAGCTTGGTTCCTTGATGGATAAGTTGATAGAATGCATGTTGACCATTAGTGCCAGGCTCTCCCCAAACAATGGGCCCAGTACTGTACTTCACTCGGGTGCCCTCACGAGAAACACCCTTACCATTGGATTCCATGTCTCCCTGTTGAAAGTAGGCTGCAAATCTGTGCATGTATTGGTCGTAAGGTAATAGTGCATGCGATTGGGCACCTAGGAAATTGTTATACCACACTCCTAACACAGCAAGTATGATGGGGATGTTTCTCTCCATAGGTGTAGAGGTGAAGTGGTTGTCCATTGCATGTGCTCCCTCAAGAAATTTGATGAAGTTTTCACTTCCAATATGACACATGATGCTCATTCCAATAGCTGACCATAAAGAGTAACGTCCTCCAACCCAATCCCAAAACTCAAACATATTAGCAGTGTCAATGCCAAATTCGCTCACACGTTTTGCATTTGTAGAGAGTGCAATGAAATGTTTTGCAACTCCACTTGCATCCCCAGAATGTTTGATGAACCATTCACGAGCTGTGCGAGCATTTGTTAAGGTTTCAAGGGTTCCAAAGGTCTTACTTGCAATAATAAAGAGAGTGGTCTCAAAGTTAACTTTCTCTAAGACTGTAGCAACATGGGTCCCATCAATATTGCTCACAAAATGAACGTTTGGTCCATTGCCCCTGTATGCTTTTAGAGCTTCTGTCACCATCACTGGTCCAAGATCAGATCCTCCAATACCAATATTAACAACATCAGTGATTGCTTTACCAGTCACCCCTTTCCAGATCCCATTTCTAAGATTGTCTGCAAAGCCTTTCATCTTTTCTAAAACTCTATTCACATTTGGCACAACATCTTGGCCATCAACAAGAATGGGAGTGTTACTTCTATTCCTTAATGCTATGTGTAGAACAGCTCGCTGTTCAGTAAAATTGATTTCATCTCCTTTAAACATTCGGTCACGCATATCTTCAACATTGGCATCTTTAGCAAGTTTTAAGAGTTCACCAAAAACATCTTCATCAACTTTGTTTTTGGAGTAATCAACAAGAAGCTTCAGACCATCGACTTCAATTGATTGACTGTACTTCGAAAACCGGTTTGGGTCATTTGCGAAAAAGTTTTTGATATGAGCTGACTTCAACTTTTCAGCAAGGATTTCTAGTGCTTTGTAGCTTGGTAGCTTATCAAAGTCTGTCATTTCGAATCGAGACCTACTGAAAATGTAAAATTAGATCTATGTCTATAGCATACTCCAAAGCATAACAGGCGTGATTGGCAATTTAAAAGACATCAAATCTAAATGTGTTTTTCAGGAAACTTTAAAAACAGCAAGACATAACCACAAAGTGGGCCCAGCCTGACATTATGCTTGCTACTTACTATGGGATAAACAGGCTAGTCAACAGTAACTTTGAATCGTGCACCAAGAAAGAAATGGATGTAATTAAAATTGCATGTATGATAAATGGACGAAGTCAGACCAGAATTTAGTAGCAATTGTTGACAATTTAGACATCAGCTGTTTGCTAACTCACTATCAAAGTTCAAACCGTGACAGTTATTTGTTTAATACTTTTCAAATTTTACAGTACAGCAGTAAAAAAATTATAAAATAGAACCATTCGAAAATATTGTTGTTGAAAATATATGAAAATTTTACAATATCTGTACACCACAAACATGAAAATAATTACCAATTGTTGCTAATCTAAAGACATTGCAAACAAAAGTAATAGAAATAGAAATAAATATATATAGTTACATAATTGAAACAATTAATTGAAACAATTAATTGAAACAATTATGGCCCCTTATTGTGGGTAGTATATGGATAGGTATGTGTAAGGTATATGTAAGGATATGTGTCCTGTCAATGACAATAATTGATAATATGCTCTTTTATATTTGTAAAGGAAAACAACATTTTAGGAAAGTGAAGTGTCATGATATTTATACCATGACACTTCACTTTCCTCAAATTTTTATATAACATATTTTTATAAAACACATCTGAGTGACTGGTAACTGCATCAAAATAATTTAACAACATTTTAAAGAACAATCTAAAAACTTAAAGACAAAAAAGCTAAAGTACAACCAAGTTTATTTATATTGACCATTGACGATTCGCAGCTCGCAGCAGATCAGTTGCATTAGGGCATTGCTACGATCTGGCAAGTTTGCGATATTAAACATTTTGATGCGCAGGGCGGCCAAGTAGTAGATCTTGCTACAAGTGACTTTATTTAACTTACTAGTGTATTGCTTGCTTCTCTCACAGATATTTCTCTCCTCTGCGAGAAGCTAGAAAAAGCGCCGCGCATATGGATTGCATTGGCATGCCAAGTAAGGTAACATGACGATTACCCGGAAACCCCAGGCTATAATGGTCATAAACAATAACGCGAACGATTCGGCAGAATGACAGGCTGAGCACCGCTTAATAACATAACATGAATTGTAGGTTTATAACCTACCAAGACGCGCGCCGAGTTGGACTCGTCGATGGTCCTGTAATATTTGACCATTGTTGTAGTGGTCTGGCCCAGCGCATGCTACTTCGTAGCACTTGCCATCGGGCCAATTATTTCAAGAAGAAAGCGGCGCGCGCTACTTCGAAGAAATTTAGACGAGTAACATCCGTCAATGTAATATTTGAAACAAATATTTTACGAGTATGGAGTATCACCCGTCAACCATTGTGCATTGTATCACGTCGTGGCCCCCACGGTCGTTTCACTATAGAGTTTCTACGATACAGAGGGAGCCGCGCATTCGTGCGCAGCGGGTCATACAACGTATGACAAGTTAACCAAGTGTTGTACGTTTATAACCTACCAGGACGCGCGCCGAGTTGGACTGACGGTAATAATTGGAACAAATATTTTACGAATATCACCCGTTAAACCAAGTGTCACGCGACGTCCAACTGGATACGGCGCGCGCATAACGTGATCGTACGTGCGTTTCTTGGCGCTGCAACGACTATTCCAGCATTAATGCGTGCTCCAAATTTTTATTAAGAAGACTCTTTCAAGATCATAGTTATTCATAGTTCCAGTCATAAAAATGCTTGGATGTTTGCCAAGTGTGGTCATAAGACTAAAACGATATACACTATGATGTATGACAGTTTAGCAGTTTTTGACCCGAAACATGTCAGATGACTGGGAACTGAGCAGCTAAGAACATCACTGATTAACTTGTGGCTTCCATTTAATTTGCTTAATTAAATCTAAAGAATTCAATATCACTGACAGTCAAAATCACGACTTAAGGTATTACGGTTAAGGAATAAGAGATGGCACTATTTGACAGGAAAATAAATCAATATTGTACGTTCTTAAAATCATATAAATCATTTAAAATTGTATATTCGTATACAAACACATATACTGTAGTCAATTTATATTAGAAATTTACTTTTATTTAAAATTTATTAAAAACACACGCAGATAAAATAGTGTAAGAAAGTCATTTATTTCCGGTTATGGCTGTATTTCAGTAATTAACACAAAATTGATCAATAATAAATCGTGATAATCAAAATCTGGATTGTTTTCAAAGCTTTACATAACTTGATTTATGCTGTATCATCAGTTTTTTTTATTCGAACAATTCTCGTCGAATTTTAAGCGCTTTTGGTTTGTAGTCTTCTTATGTCTGAGCCAAAGATGCATCAGTTACACCAATCTTGTAATAAAACTTGCTGCGAGTTTTTCTTGAACCGCCTGTGTTCGGTGTGTTCGGTGCCAACTAAAATAAAATACTTTATTAGATAGCAGTAGTAGTTTCTCTGTCAGTAGTTTTAAATTCCATGACGTAAAACCTAAATCTGGTCCATTAAATATACCTCTGTTACCAGTTTAACAGTAAAACCCCGATTTACCGTGCCCCGATATACCGCGGCTATCTCCTTCCCCCACCCCCCCCCCCCCCCCCAAATAGCATGTACATAATGAAAACAAACAAAACCCCTGGTAGTAATAAAATACTATCATGAATATTGTACTATTATATACAACTACTACCCATACTACTATACAATACAGGAATAACACAAAGCAAGCAATTCTACTAAATTAAGTGTAACACTGCAACACTGTGACACTGCAACACTGTGACACTGCAACACTGTAACACTGCAGAACTTTAACACTGTAACACTGTGACACTGTAACACTGCAACACTGTGACACTGTAACACTGTAACACTGTGACACTGCAACACTGTGACACTGCAACACTGCAACACTGCAACACTGTGGCACTGCAACACTGTAACACTGTAACACTGCAACACTGTGACACTGTAACACTGCAACACTGTAACACTACAACACTGTAACACTGCAACACTGTGACACTGCAACACTGCAACACTGTGGCACTGCAACACTGTAACACTGCAACACTGTGACACTGTAACACTGCAACACTGTGGCACTGCAACACTGTAACACTGCAACACTGTGACACTGTAACACTGCAACACTGCAACACTGTAACACTACAACACTGTAACACTGCAACACTGTGACACTGCAACACTGCAACACTGTGGCACTGCAACACTGTAACACTGCAACACTGTGACACTGTAACACTGCAACACTAACACTTCAACACTGTAACACTGCAACACTGTGACACTGCAACACTGCAACACTGTGGCACTGCAACACTGCAACACTGTGACACTGTAACACTGCAACACTGTGACACTGTAACACTGTAACACTGCAACACTGTAACACTGCAACACTGTAACACTGCAACACTGTGACACTGTAACACTACAACACTGTAACACTGCAACACTGTAACACTGCAACACTGTGACACTGTAACACTGCAACACTGCAACACTGCAACACTGCAACACTACAACATTGTAACACTGCAACACTGTGACACTGCAACACTGCAACACTGTGGCACTGCAACACTGTAACACTGCAACACTGTGACACTGTAACACTGCAACACTGTAACACTACAACACTGTAACACTGCAACACTGTGACACTGCAACACTGTAACACTGTAACACTGTGGCACTGCAACACTGTAACACTGCAACACTGTAACACTGCAACACTGTGACACTGTAACACTGCAACACTGTAACACTGTGACACTGTAACACTGTGACACTGTAACACTGCAACACTGTAACACTACAACACTGTAACACTGCAACACTGTGACACTGTAACACTGTAACACTGTCACACTGCAACACTGTAACACTGTAACACTGCAACACTGTAACACTGCAACACTGCAACACTGTAACACTGTGACACTGTAACACTGTAACACTGCAACACTTTAACACTGTAACACTGTGACACTGTAACACTGCAACACTGCAACACTGCAACACTGTAACACTGTGACACTGCAACACTGTGACACTGCAACACTACAACACTGTAACACTGCAACACTGCAACACTGCAACACTGTGACACTGTGACACTGTGACACTGTGACACATACCTTGTTGTTCTCCAGTGTAAGAGCTCTCAGTTGCGGGAGCTGCAATGTCACATACTCTGGTAGCTCAGTTAACACGTTGTTATCAAGATGCAGTTTCTCCAAACTCGTCATCTGTACTACCTGTAATAGAAAGTAGTGTGAAAGTGAAACTGATGGTAAAATTGATAGTGAAAGTGAAAGTCTAGGTAAAAAGTGTCTAATCCAACCCCGGTACACTTACCTCGTCAGGCAGAACACTAATCTGATTGTGTATAAGAGACAGTTCTTCCAACTTTTCCATCTTTGTTACAACTGTTGGGAAATTCCTGAGCGAGTTGTACCCTAGCTAATGGTGGGGTGGCAGGTGTGAGAATTATTTCAGACGAGGAAGACAATCCGAGAATGGGTCCTTGATCAATAAATGAGGAAAAGTGAGACCATTATTTGATATAGTCTGTGATAACTTTTGAGAATAGTCTGGAATCCAGCTGTACCTTATTCAATGCCACGATACATATTTATAACAATAAATAGTACGTTATAAAGTGTGTACCTGTAAGTCTGTTAGTTCCTTAAGTTTCAACATGGTTTTCTCGTCGACATGTTCCAAGTTATTGTGTGTTAGAATAAGTCTCTTCAGTGAAACCAACCTGCCTGAGTGATATGTACCAATATACTACTAGTATTAGGAACCATTCATGGTTAGCAGCGAATCATGACAAGAGTAAATTAATGATTAACCGTAATTAATTAATTGATACTATTGCATTTGATTAAATTTACATAAACAAAAAACACGAATGAAAATACATATTTGCAGTACTTACAGCAGTACTTACAGCAGTACTTACAGCAGTACTTACAGCAGTACTTACAGCAGTACTTACAGCAGTACTTACAGCAGTACTTACAGCAGTACTTACAGCAGTACTTACAGCAGTACTTACAGCAGTACTTACAGCAGTACTTACAGCAGTACTTACAGCAGTACTTACAGCAGTACTTACAGCAGTACTTACAGCAGTACTTACAGCAGTACTTACAGCAGTACTTACAGCAGTACTTACAGCAGTACTTACAGCAGTACTTACAGCAGTACTTACAGCAGTACTTACAGCAGTACTTACAGCAGTACTTACAGCAGTACTTACAGCAGTACTTACAGCAGTACTTACAGCAGTACTTACAGCAGTACTTACAGCAGTACTTACAGCAGTACTTACAGCAGTACTTACAGCAGTACTTACAGCAGTACTTACAGCAGTACGTACAGCAGTACTTACAGCAGTACTTACAGCAGTACTTACAGCAGTACTTACAGCAGTACTTACAGCAGTACTTACAGCAGTACTTACAGCAGTACTTACAGCAGTACTTACAGCAGTACTTACAGCAGTACTTACTACTTACCGATGCCCAGGATTTGCGTGACACACTTTAGTGAACAATTAGTCACAATTAGTTCGTGTAAAGTTGTTGTTATAGCGCTGAGATCCAGCCCCGTTCCAGAGAAATCTATATTACAAATACTGGGAAAATACTTCAATTATTGAGGAGATTCTTGAATTTCACAGCAGTTTAACTAAAAAACAAACAGAGACATTCGGAATATTTTCAACAAAGTAGTAGCACAAACTCGATCCATATTGTGTCGCTAAATTCCACATTGTGCCTACATACCACAAGATAATAAAATACCAAGAACCAGTAATAACGCGACCGACCTTACCTCAGTTTCACGAGTTGTCTGAGGGCCCACAAATAGTTCAGGTCATTCTCCCTGTTGGTCATTAGAAACAAATCAGTGATGGTCCTATCCTCTATGGAGATGACAGTAACTGTCACACTACAGTTCCCACTGAATTCTGCTAACAAATTCTCACTTTGCCAGCCTCTCACTGACTTACCGTTTACCTGGGGAGAGACATCTTTCAGTTGGTCTAACTTTTAAAAGGTTTCAGCGAAGATTTATGGTTGTGAGACACAGTGTATCAAATACTTTACTTAATAAAGTATTATAAAGACTCACCTTCAATATCTGATCTCGTTCTTTTAGGCCCATCTTTTTGGCGATCCCTTTTTCGTCCAAACTTTGTACCGTTGCTAGGTAGAGTTCCAATCCATCGTAAAGCTGAAATAGTTTGATGTTTCAAATACTTTAACTTTTAAAGTGCTGCAATACGTAAAAACCTTTTCAGTAAGTTTCGAGTTTTATCATTCTGAACATTAAAACAGAAAGATGATAAACTGCCACAGCTTTTATTTGATGGCACAAATCATTTAGTTTTGTGCCATCCCGAAATTTCTTTGTCCCTGAGCTAAGATCTAACATAGATCTGTGTTAGGTCTAACACTAATACAGAAAACATGTACTACCTTAACCTTACCTTAGCAATGATGTTGGACACATTGACACCCCAGCTGGATTTCTTATTCTTCCTTGTCAGAGTAATCTGGGACGTTTTTATCTGATACTTCAAATGTGACTCAAAGTATACCAACTTGCCACTGTCATCGTTATTCATCACCACTGTAGCTACCAGTGCTTGTTGAGATTAGAGAAATGATCGTCTTATCAGTGGCTACATTACATCCTACAATAATATAGTCTGGTAACTCTGGTTATAGTCATACATCTACAGTGGCTACATTACATCCTACAATAATATAGCCTGGTAACTCTGGTTATAGTCATACATCTACAGCGGCTACATTACATCCTACAATAATATAGCCTGGTAACTCTGGTTATAGTCATAGGGTAAAGCACATAATTTTGTCATTTTTTGGCAATTTTCCGACTGCCTGATATAAACCATGGGTTTTAACCTCGTCTGAAATTCCGATTTAGATGAAACCTCCACCATGTTATAGTAGACAGTCTAGGCAAGTTCTAACACAAAAATGATCGAAATTGCTGGGGTTGAAGTTGTTCAAAAAAATTATTTTGAAAAAATGACAAAATTAGGTGACTTTACTTAATTTTGTCACCCCGAACCTAATTTTGTCACTTGAAGATTGTGCAAAAAGTAACCATTTCTCGGTATTTTAGACTACCTGGATGCATCATTCGAGCGCTTTTTTACCAACATTGACCTCAAAAATCCCAAAGATATGATGTTTTCATAGTTTTGTAGCTTGATGAAAAGATGACACTTTTTGGGTATCTAATCTTAGAAAATAGCCCCCAAATGCCCCTGAAACCACTGGTATCTTGAAAAACGATTGGTTCTAGGTCTAGGTTGAAATTTTCATGTCTGTAGATAGATCACTTGCTTAGTAATTTCATCAAATATTTTTTTAGTCATTTTAGATTGAAAAAATCAGATTATCCACCTCGGCGAAAATATGCTATTATAAGTGTTATGCTATTATAAGTGCCTTATACATATCCTATGGGCAAAAAAACTTCAGAATAGTTGTATAAGGCCATTTTCAACACAATCTGTGATTTACAAGAAATTTGAGAAAGGTCGATTTATTTGACAAAATTAGGTACTTTTGGCAAAATCGAACCTAATTTTGTCACCCTCTGTAACTTGAACAATAATTGCGCTAGAGACTTGAAAATTTGTACGTATACTTCTGCTGTAGAAGATATTTGAAATATGCAATGGCATGAAGCTAGCTCAATTACTTTTGAAATAGCAATAAATCAAAATTTTGAAAATTCCTTAAGAAAACCTTAAGGATCTTATTTATTTTTCGGGTTAACAGTTTCGCCTTCTTTTTTGACACAGATGCAAAAGAGCTAGAAACTTAAACTTTGTAGGAGCAGTTTCAGCAAAGTCTAAGCTTTCTTTCAAGCTGAAATTCCGAGCTGAGGCAGTTTTTCAGAGCAAAATGACAAAATTAGGTACCCTGACAAAATTACGTGCCTTACCCTACATCTACAGTGGCTACATTACATCCTACAATAATATAGCCTGGTAACTCTGGTTATAGTCATACATCTACAGTGGCTACATTACATCCTACAATATTATAGTCTGGTAACTCTGGTTATAGTCATACATCTACAGTGGCTACATTACATCCTACAATATTATAGCCTGGTAACTCTGGTTATAGTCATACATCTACAGTGGCTACATTACATCCTACAATATTATAGTCTGGTTATAGTCATACATGATACATCTACACAGTATACACACTACACAGTATACACAGTACACACAGTGTACAGTGGCGTCTTACGTTGGTAGTTTTTAGACGAAATTAAGATCTTAGACAAAGATTTAAATCACATCGTTGTTAAACGGAACTGAATGGCCGTACATTACCAATATTTCATGAATTAGTTAAAGAGAAAATGAAACCGATTCTCCAGGCTTATCACCTATAGTGAATGTAACAAAAGCAATACAATCAACAAGGATAAGAGTACAATTACAAATAATTATCAAACACACACAAGGGAGGTAAAATCCACACCCGAGAAATGCCATATCACATTACACGGATCATTCTGACCACGTGTCTAAAAAGATATTGACTGAGATTCTAATCGTGTAAAACACAGCTGGTTTCATTTTTCTTGACGTAAAATATGTACATATAATCATTAGATACACATGTATAGTGTATACGATTTTAATCATTATATATACATTGTGATCAGTAACTAACAATAATTAACCTAGTTACGAATAGTAAAGCAATGTATTTTTAGATGTAGCCAGGGTATGTTTGAACATGAGATATTTCATCTCTACCGATAACATTGATAATGTTTACATCCCTAGTTCTTGAGAATAACACAGTTGTTGATACCACTAGCTCCTGAGAATGACACAGTTGTTGATACCACTAGCTCCTGAGAATGACACAGTTGTTGATACCACTAGCTCCTGAGAATGACACAGTTGTTGATATCACTAGCTCCTGAGAATGACACAGTTGTTGATACCACTAGCTCCTGAGAATGACACAGTTGTTGATACCACTAGCTCCTGAGAATGACACAGTTGTTGATACCACTAGCTCCTGAGAATAACACAGTTGTTGATACCACTAGCTCCTGAGAATGACACAGTTGTTGATACCACTAGCTCCTGAGAATGACACAGTTGTTGATACCACTAGCTCCTGAGAATAACACAGTTGTTGATATCACTAGCTCCTGAGAATAACACAGTTGTTGATGCCACTAGCTCCTGAGAATGACACAGTTGTTGATACCACTAGCTCCTGAGAATGACACAGTTGTTGATACCACTAGCTCCTGAGAATGACACAGTTGTTGATGCCACTAGCTCCTGAGAATGACACAGTTGTTGATACCACTAGCTCCTGAGAATGACACAGTTGTTGATAACACTAGCTCCTGAGAATAACACAGTTGTTGATACCACTAGCTCCTGAGAATAACACAGTTGTTGATACCACTAGCTCCTGAGAATAACACAGTTGTTGATATCACTAGCTCCTGAGAATAACACAGTTGTTGATACCACTAGCTCCTGATAATGACACAGTTGTTGATATCACTAGCTCCTGAGAATGACACAGTTGTTGATACCACTAGCTCCTGAGAATGACACAGTTGTTGATACCACTAGCTCCTGAGAATGACACAGTTGTTGATATCACTAGCTCCTGAGAATGACACAGTTGTTGATACCACTAGCTCCTGAGAATGACACAGTTGTTGATATCAGTGGGGGTGTGGCCACATTCCCCGCAGGTTCTCCAGACCATGTTGTTTGGCGCGCTACATACCGGACACGCCCACTCCTCCTCCAGACTGGCAATAGTCACTGTGTCTAGTGGTGCTTCTCCACCTGGGCATAATTAACATTAATTAACATTAATTAACAATTAATTAACAATTAATAATATTAATCAATACAATTAACATTGATTATAATAATAAAAATTCATTCATTTATGTAGCTATTATGGCAGATTGATTGTGTTATAAAACAATCAGATTTAAATAAAGATACATGTGTCTGGAAACCCTGTACTAGTGTAACCGCTGTAACGCGTGCCTACGGCCGGGACTCCACTATCGCAGTTGAAATGCAAAAGTATAAACACGCACTATCATGCTGAATAATTATTTAAACGCATAAACTCAAATTAAATAATTAATAAACATGTGTGGTACATACTCATACGTTTTACCCAAACTTACACGAGTTTTCAGCACCTGATTTGTCATCAACTAAACAAATGACAGGTGATACAGATGGACAATGGACATAAGTCAATAGTCATGCATAGTTTACAGTAATAAATATCATTAGCATTCACATTAGGTGCAAGAGAAGAGATAAATAAGTTTTGATAAAAGATTGTGGTGTCATCCCAGAGAAAGATATAGATACACGATCAAGAACAAAGGAAAAGACTGCATTGATCTTCTTACTAAATACAAAGTCATAGCAGTTGTAGAACGGTCGACTCTCGCCTAAAAATAGATTTTACTAATTATCAGTGCTGAAATTTATTGTTTAGAAATATTATAATATGCTCTAAGAAAGTAAATGTATTTACCCAATAATCAATATTATTATATGGTGGCACTATTCATGTGATGTGCCATGATCTGAAATGATATTCAGATTTGACTTCAAAACATGAATTTGTAACAAAAGTAAATAAAGGAACCATCATCTCGGCTTGGGAACATATGACAAATACAGGCAACGGGATATTTAGAGGCAAACAATACTAAAAAGTCAGTTAAAAAAACCTGATTTTTGTCTCTCGAAACTCATTTCATTGATCAGCTTTTTCTGGTTGTCTTTTTCTTTCAACTGATTCTCTATCATCGCATTCTGAGATACATTCAATTATAAATTCGTAAGGATTGAAATCGATTCAGAGTTAAATAGTATGTGTTAATGCTTTTCAATACAAAGTAAAAACAAGGCCTTTACCCACTTAAAACCTTTCCATCACGATACATAATACTCAATAAATGTAATAGATTTGTAGTGTTATAATTAGTTTAATTAAATAAAGAAGTTTCGAGCTAACTGACCAGTTCATGTTCTAGACGGTCGTTAGAAGCAGTTTTGTCGAGACACTCCTGAATTTTCAGTTGCAGCTTTGCTATTTCCAGGTCCATTATCTTAGACTCCTTTTCAGTTGCATCCAATGTCTTGTAAGATAAAATCGAAATTAATATTAGAAGCATTTTGTTTTTTATTGGTTTTAAATTAACTTTAGTATATGGACACGTTCATTTGAGTTTGAGGATATTGGTAAATATAAGTGACCATATTAAAAGGCACAGTGTAGTTGACTTTGTCACACTATGAAATTACACAAACCCTTGATGGTTAGGATAATCGTCTCATCCTCTAGGCTAACTTTGTCACTTAACGATATCTTAATCAGGTGATAAGATATCGCTTAACTACGGCCGGCACGGAAATGGTTACATTGTCACACTATAAACATGTGACGGAGTAAATATGGACCCCTTGCTGCCGTTTTTGACCAGATTTTTGAGTGTCCAGTTGATTGGATGGGTACATATGACCATTACGTACATATTTGACGACTTTTTTTGTTAGATGGTGCACTCAGGTTTACTCCGTCACACATTTAAGAAAACATGTGAAGAATGTTTAGGGCACCCTGATAAGCAATGCTGAGTAGTGTACGTTTATTTGATGGCCTGGAAGTGCTAGGAATTGTTATTATATCATATAGTCGTAAGGAATTAAAACAGAGAAGGCACAAACAAGTTTACTTTGTCACATAATCTTGATGATATCTGAACATGTGTGAAATTGAACAAATAATGATATACCAGCTTACACCCCTTATTTTATGTACTATGGATCAAACAACACTGCTAGTACCACGCACCAGTCACATAAATCATTATCGGGTGGTAATATGTTAACAGTGTCACAATTAAACTACCGCAACATGGTCAAAAATAGGGTAATTTCGTCACAAAAAAAAATATTATAACTCTGTTAGCTCCTTGCTGGCAAAATAACTAGTTCATTGATGATAAAGTTACATAGTATTCTAATAGAGGTATAGCTCTTCAAAATAGGGGCAAGACATGTTTACTTTGTCACATCAGTTATTATAAGAGTTAGGTAATCGTCATCAGATTAACAGAGCTTTTTCGTAGTTTGGATCGATTAATATAGGCAATAAAGCATCCTATGCCAATTTTAACACACTATCTTGATATTGTTGGGGCAGGGAAAGTTAATTTTGTCACATTTTCAGCGTCTTTGACAAATTAATCTAAAATTGTTAAACTTGAGCTCTGATGTTCTAGACAATATTATACCAATCGTTTCTGAAAGAATGCTGAATTCTAATAGAGTTATAGATCTTCAAAATAGGGGCAAGACATGTTTACTTTGTCACATCAGTTATTATTAGAGTTAGGTAATCGTCATCAGATTAACAGATCTTTTTCGTAGTTTGGATTGATTTATATAGGCAATAAAGCAGCCTATGCTAATTTTTACACACTATCTTGAAATTGTTGGGGCAGGGAAAGTTAATTTTGTCACATTTTTAGTGACTTTGACAAATTTAACCAAAATTGTTAAACTTGAGCTCTGATGTTCTGGACAATATTCTACCGATTTTTTTCTGGAAGAATGTTGAATTCTAATAGAGTCATAGAATATATAGATCTTCAAAATAGGGGCAAGACATGTTTACTTTATCACATCAGTTATTATAAGAGTTATTATAAGAGACTATTTCATTCTATAATCATTGTTTTTAACCTATTTACGATTTCGTATCATTTTTTGTGACAATGTAAACATCAACTGATCTTAACTTGCATCAACTGCATTGTCATCATATAAAGTTTTCACTCCTTTTAAACCAAAACCAGATATAAATAATTCGCCCAAAATTTAAAATTCCATATATTGTGACAGAATTAACCTCATTTCCTAATAACCAAGTGCCTGTATTATCTAACTATTCGAAACAAAATATTTTAGGGCTATGATTGGTAGATCAACCATCAAATAATGAGTTAAAAGGTTTTTGAGGACACCTCACAGTAGAATAGAGGTATGGTATTCTGAGTGTGACAAAGTTACCCAAATATTGCCTTGTAACCGTTCGATCCGTGCCCTTTAACCAATGTGGCATCATAATTGTTAGATTGACCTAATCTACTATATTTCAGACCAAGGAGTGATAATTAGACAACTGCAGTTAACTAAGTCACACAAAATGTGACATTTGAACCATTATAGTGCTTAACAACAATAAATTTTCTTTCTGAGCAGTGCATATGGGAGTATGGGTTACGTGGCTAATGTTCAGAACTTCTGAACGTACTAGGTTAATATATGTCAAAATTAAGCCACTATCGTCGAAAACGCTATCATTTTTGTTTACCAATATCCTCAAACTCAAATGAACGTGTCCATATAATTTTAAGAGTTTATAATTCAAAAACCGATACTTTTACGGGAGAATTTACCTTTCTGCAATTTCGTAATCTTTTTCTCTGATCATCTAGAATCAAATCTGAAAGAAAGTGTGTAACCATAAGAATGTTTACACTGTCTGAAATCAAAAAGAGTTCTCATACTACAATTGAAAGACATGCGCAATTAAATTGTTTAAAATACATTTTGTGGCACATATGGGATACTTCATTAATCATCTGCTATTAATGTCGAATGCAATTTACCAGTTGAAGAACTGATTGGAAGAGAAGTCGGACGGGCAGGAGTGAATTCTTCGTGAATCAAGTTATAACCTGGGCCATCCTCTTCATACATTCTGTACAAATGGTTGTTAAGACCCACTGTCCATTGCTCACAGTAATCGTGTTAATATTTCTGCTGATCTTAAATTATGTTCTTAGAGCTTATTCATTGTCCCATAACACAGACAATTTGTATTTTAGTGTATATTCCATTCGATTACTGCCTTAAACAAAACCAGCAATAAAATTGTGTAGATGAGATGGTAAAAAAGGGTTCTATAGACTATTTGTATTGTAGAATTGTTTCATTTCAGTAAATAGTTGTGCAGTTTATTGCAATTAACAAGAACAATGGTACTTTTCACAATTCAATGTTGCTGTACTAATTTCTCTTTTCCTCGATTCTTTTGTTACATTTCATTTCTACTTTTGTTAGTTTTAGAGCTGCACAATGATAGCACTCTATAATTACCATGGCTTGCAAATAGTTTAATGGTAATTAGCAGGGGTGTAGGAAGCGGGGGGCAGGGGGGGCCATCGCCCCCCATGAAATCTGGGCAAGGGACCAAAAAGGGCCAACTTTTTAATTTAGGCTTCGAAGTCAAAAATTTTCTAAGTCAAAAATTTTCAAAGTTTTCTTGAAAACTATTTTTGTTCATGTTTCATGCTACCCTGATCATTATGAGCCAAAAATATTTGTTTCGGTTTTCGAAGTTCGATATACGATTTTGGTTCGAGGGTTCCCCTTTGTAATGCGATCTCATGTTATAAATCAAGAGGCTTGCATATAATGAACATATTGACATGGGTGGAGAGTTGAGTCTGTACAGAACCTAGTAGTTTCAGTTCCTTGTTAAACTTGCCGTACAGCAAGGACATTCACTACTTTAGCCCGGCGAGGCACATAGCTCACTCTACAACTCCGTGTCAAATGTGACTGATTTGGGCGGAGAGCTTAGATTTTGAGGAAGATGAGGGGGTTAAGTTGTATTTGGTGAGAAGCTTTGAGATGTTGGTATACCAAGGAAGTCCCAACATGATTTGTTCGTGAAATGCAGCACAGAGTAGTTCGTTTTCAGTGTTTTCAAGGCGACTATAGTAATCTATTGCAAGTTTGCAGGCTTCAAAGAATAGGGGGTGGCGCCCGCTTTCGCCCCAGCAACCTATATTTGATGCTTTTGAATGGACGGACAAAGACCACTTGATAAACTTGAGGTGGAATTTTGTCATAGTGGTCTTGTGCAATGTACTTCAAGGTATGCTGGGGGTTGGCTTTGTCATCTATTTTTGAAAGGTATCTCATGGTTTTTGAGTGGGGGCATAAGACTTGACAGCCATAAAGCAGGATTGGTTTTATTAAGGAGTCAAATAGAATATTAAGGGCACGGTGAGAGAGGGCATCCTTAACTATTTTGCCTTTGAGGTCATAGAGAGCACGGAGAGCCTTGGCCCTCAGCTCAGTATTTGCTGCTGTAAACGATCCATTTCTGTGGAATATTATGCCAAGATAGCAGTATTTATCGGTGTGCTGGATGGGCTGACCTCCCAATGTGAATGTTTCATAGGACTGCTTTCGTTTGGGAGGGCTGAATATTACAATCTTAGTTTTCTTAATATTTACTTCAAGGCCCATGGAGTCACAGAAATCAAATAGAATGTTGATATTGACTTGCAAGGCCTCGGGACTAAGAGCAAGAAGGACAAGATCGTCAGCCCACAGCAGATGTGATATCAGAACGTCAGCAAGAACTGGATAGTCACCAACAGATTTCAGGAGAGATGAAAAGTCATTAATGTAGATTTTAAAAAGGTCTGGCGATAGGGGGTGTCCTTGCTCCGTTCCTTTGCCAATAGCAATTTTAGGCGACAAGAGTTTGGAAATATTTATATGGGCAATAGAGTTTTTGTACATATCACTTAGGCAGTTGAAGAAGTTACCGGTTATTCCAAGGCATGTAATTTTGTGCAGAAGGAGGTCCCTAATACAGTGTCACAGTGGCGTAACGAAGGGCCCTGCTGACCCCGCTGTGCAGGGGGGCGCCGTCTTAGGGGGGCGCCAAATCGTCGTTTGAATGTGGGACAATTTCGAAAACTTAACTAAAGTACTAGCAAAACTGCGCGTTTTGCTCTAGATACACACTTTTTTAGAGATTTTTACCGGCGTATCTTCTAAAATCACCTAATTTGTTCAATTTTAGGGAGGGGCACCAAAAGGGGAGGGGGCGCCAACAGGGGGGCGCCTTTTCGGCAGGGGGGCGCCAACAGGCAACGTTACGCCACTGCAGTGTCAAAGGCCTTTCTTAGATCAACAAAGCATGCATAAAGACGAGCCTTTTCAGCTTTTGTGTATTTGTCAATTACTGTCTTGAGGGTGAAAACGTGATCGTTAGTTTGGGCACCTTTCGAAAATCCAAGCTGTTCTTTTGGGTCAGGACAGTAGAGCTTTTTGAAGTGTAACAGACGTTCAAGTAAGATGCTAGAGAACAGCTTACCCATACAACTGCCAACTGCTATTGCTCTGTAATTGTCTGGGCTGAAGGGGTTGCCTGATTTATAGATAGGAGTGATAATACTGGTATGCCATGGATAATAGCCGGATCTAATATATATTATTATACCATTGCTTTCATATCAAACCTCACTCATGACTCAACTACAGTCAGCATTTAATTACACTTACCTTGATGTACTGTAGCACTTTCTTTGATAAGTGCCTTAACCACATGATATATGCTGTATCAAATATTATTGTCAGTCTTCCTGCATGTGCACGTATTATATGTACGAGAAACGAAAAGGCAAAAATACTTTCATCAAGATCGAGTGCTGTTATTGTAAACTGAAAAAATAATTTGAACCCCGTGTCTTCTTGAATGCATATTATATATATTAGTGATAATAAACTGTGAACTGGAGGTATCTTCGGTCGAACCCTAAAATTACTGATACCAAATTTAAACCCCACATATGCGTGTATAGTCTCCAAATCTTCTCTTATCTCTGCTCTCGGACTTTGTTCTTTTGAATAGAACTGTTTGTATACTTTAACAAATAGTGATTTTAACTTTGAGATAAACTGCTATATTATTATATTTTTGTACCAATATTCACCTAACTTAACGTCTCTCACTGACACCATCACCCGGCAACCAATTTTAAAGTAAAATTTATTAACGATCTGACTACAGACTGGCGGTCAACGTTCCCCGTATAGTAGCTCAACGGAGGGGGTAATCAGGGCACGTGTTAATGAAAAATGTACGTGTCCTTCCACAATCCCTTCTGTTGGGTCACACGTTATTGGGAACTGAGATCGCTATCGTGTAACTAGAAGCAGTATATGCAAAGTAACTTTGGTGATAGGTGATAGGCAATATGAAATTACACATCTTACTTTTACTTTATCCCGTCACCCATGGACTTATTAATTAACGGCTGGTGGTGGTGTCATCGTTTGTCATACTCAAAACGTTTCGCGGTTGCGAATGCCGGCCCATCGAGGAAAATCTTTTTACTTTGTATTTTAACCATTATAAAGTATGATTAATCGGATATAGTACTGAGTTCAAACAGTCCCCGAAACGAAAAAGCAAACATTTGATTTTTGTTTCGGCGACTGAATCGTTGATGGGCCGGCAAATATTTGTTGTCGAGTAGTGTTGAATACTCATATTAACATGATTATTGATTTAATTTAGGAATTGTATATACACTCCTGCGCGCAGTGTTGTGACCTCCCTTCGTCGTATTTTACACACATTTGGACGTTGGCAATTTATTCCATCGATAATTTTAAAGTTTTAACATTTTTATATTAAATTCTTTTTTAATTTAGTTCTAAAACGATTGAACTTGCTTTCTGTGAAAATTTAATGTACTTTCGTAAAATAATTTTGATGTGGCAGCGATTTGAAAAGGAAATTAGTTAAAAATAATACAAAAAAATCGGACATTTTTTGATATTAAAACATGAATAACTTGGGCTGTGTTGACAGTAGAAAAATTTATTAACCTCTATCCGACAGCTTTAAAATTTTTCTACGCGCCGCGCAAATCCACGCGCGCATTTTAGCGTGTCAAAATCGTTTAAAACTAGAATTAGTTGATGAAGGAGCATAATGCAGATCATAGGTTGTACGTGTGGCTTGAACATTATGATTTCGCGCCATTTCTTGTTTCTGCACTCGCTTTGAACTTTCATGGCTTTAACAGCAGTTATCGACTGACGACTTTGCTGTATTACATAGTGTACTTGGTACATAATTGATCAACGATAATAGGAGGAACCCCTGCAAGCTTTAAAGGGCTCGTGTTACTTTAACATCACTTTTGAATTTCACGAAAGCAGATAAAAGGTAGGTTTTCGTTGAATCAAAGTAAGCTAATATCAATTAGAACGAGTATAATTGTGTTACTTTAATAAATCGCTTGGTACTGTATTTTATAGTTAACTAACGACATTCTCGCTTTAGGTTATTTTATATAAAACACTTTTATCATTGTTGATTGTGACTTGTCCAATCATTGCACTAGTTTATTACAAAGATTATCAAAATCTTGCGGTAAAATTATTATACAAGCACCCATAAATGACAAAAGTCATTTAATTTCAACATTCCTCATTGCTTTTGTGATTTCCTGCAGCTCTTACTACTGGGCAGCTCTTACTACTGGGCAGGTCGCCCCGTGGTGGTTCATGGAGGCGTCTCAAAAAAAACTGACTGAACTATAATCTAAATATGATAAGTGCTTATTAACCTCTCTGCTTTAATTCAAACCTTTTATAGAATCTACATATGAACTTACAATATTTTGCAGTTTTAGTGACGTTGCAGAAACTCCGGAATACTGTGGATTGGGAGGAGGAGAAAGTGATAATTCTGTTATATGGCCTGTTTCTAGGACACGATAAACTTCCTAATAAGGTATTTTTTTCAGGATACGATAAACTTCTTAATAAGGTATGATCTGTAGCTAGGACACGATTAACTTCCTAATACAGTATGTGTAGATGATAACCTTCCTTCCTCTTCTAGATCAGATGGCTAAGTTACGGTGCAAAGACGGGTAGCTTGAGAC